TCTTCCTGAGTCCGAAAAACACATGTGCAGCAATTGGTCTGTCTGTCTGTGACAAGATTATCAAGGTAAATAGTCGACCGATTTTGTTGCGTCGGTTTAATATTGTAGGGTTTTGACTACTGATGTCTGTGACAAAAATTGGGTACGCAATAAGTGAAAAACATATTTTATTACGATCTGTAGCGCAAAAATAGCTTTAAGGATTTTAATGAAATTTTCCTCTATTTTTCTAATTAATGTCCTTTCAATTTCGAATATGTACTAAATTCCCGAAAAAAATTCTGGAAAAAAGTTGTAAAGAAAAGAAAAATGTTTTGAGGCCTAACTCGCTAAGTATATATTGTACGGTAAACTTAAATAAACGAACACTGTTTTTAGCTTGTTTCTTTGGAACGTAATGAAATTCCCTTCAAAACTATATAAGAATCGTTCATTTCGAACAACTATTAACGAAGTGACAGCTATTTTAATTTCGTATGTCAGATTATGAGTTCAAATCCCAAAGCCAAGAGAGAGAAAAAAGAAAATTAAGTAAAATTTTAAAAAATCTGGTGCCCACATCACAAAAGTTTCACTTTCCCCCCTACTTTTAATAGAAACTATTTTCTGATAAAATTGGGCTATTTCAAATAATTTTTTGTTTAGTAATGTTAGAGTTAATTGAATTGTTTAAACTGAAAATCCACAAACCAGTTTACATTGCTTTAGTTTATCAAAGGAATCGTACTCAAATATTTTCTTTATTCAATTATGAGAAAAGTAAATCTAATTCAATTGTTTTTGTTTGTTTTGTTTTTAAAGATAATATTTAAAAATATAAAAACTTTTCTGTAATTGGTAAGAAAGCTTTGTGAGTGGACCCACTAAAAAAGGCATTTTTGAGATTTTTTTTCCGACATTTGTGTAATATCTTTGAGAATTATTATGATTTATTAATTTCATTATAAATCTTATATTTTGTTTTCTTTAATTAGTTTTTCGCAATTTCCTTTAAATTGAGTTATAAAAACAGTTTTGATTTCAATATCAACTTGTATATATTTCACAAGCTCTTACAAAAATGTTTATATATGTATGTAAATATATATATATATATATATATATATATATATATATATATATATAATTTTTTTCTTAATTAAATAAAAGCATTTATAAAAAAAAAAGTCTTGTCTAAATTCACATATGCAGTAAATATAGCAGAAATCAATACCAATATAGTCCATTTATATGCAAACACTTCATTAATATTTTCATGAATATTCTGTTACCAACATGCGCTCCATTCTACAGCAATTTTTTTGGGCATTGAAAATTGATTTCAAGTGCAATAAGGATTTTTTATATCACTGACAAGAATTTAAACCAAAAATAAATGAAAAACAAAACAAAATAACTTTGACAAAAAAAAAAAAAAATCTACTGAATAACTTGATACCTAGAATGAAAGTTAAAAAAAAAACATTTTTAAAAAATCATGTTACCGAAATTGTTATTTTTTTAAATTCATCTTTCATTTAAGTATTTAGATTTAAGATAAAGAATGGTTAAGACACATTATACTTCAAACTTATAATTTACAAATATCAACTCAATAATAATTAACTGAAAATTTTTATAAAACTAAAATTTAGGAAACAGACAAAATACTACCATTTTGATTATAATGATCATATTAAATATTCATTTTAATTTATTGTTTATTTTGCAAGTTGATTTTTGAATCTACATAAATAAACCTTGATTGATATTTTTATTATTATTGTATAAAAATCTAGATTTCTGTTGTATAGATATCTTTGAGCTAGAAGTAATCTTTCTTTTTGTAAAGTATGGTTATTTTCAATGGTTTTGTCCTAGAATAAAGTTACTTTCTATCTACCAATCTAAAATTGTTTTATATTTTAATTATTATAGTAAGCTCATTAAAAAATTTGAATTAATGATTTCAATATATGATGTAAACAATCAATCTTTACATTATTTATTATTAATACTTGCTCTTTTATCTAAATACGATTAGATGTTCAAACAAAACTTCTGAAATTGCTTACTTATGTTTCTTCTGCAGTAAAACAAATATTGATTCTTTTTCTCATTTTCTTAACTAATTATAACTATATTAAAAGGATTGTGCTGCTTCTGAAATAAAAAACTTTTATTTCGTAATCTTCATAAAAAAAAAATAGTTTAATAAGTTGGTTTAACACAAAAATCAACAGATAGAAGGAGTTTTTATTTATTTGATATCTTGATTGTACATATCTTGTAACATAAAATATCAAATGTTGAGGAGGAGGCGTTTAAATTTGATTTTCTTGATCAATTGCAAATGTTCATAACTGAAAATAATAAAGCAAAATAACTTCCAACGTGACACTTGGTCATATTCAAATTTCTTCTTCTTCTTACAAGAAGAAGTCCACCTTGTGCCTTTCAGTGTGGAGGTGTCTCAGTCCATACCAGCCACGCATCCTGGTCTCTGGCCAGCGACTTCATAGCATTCAGCCCGCGTCCTCTCTGCTGTCCCAGCTTGGAGATGTGGTCTGTCCACGTTAACCTAGGTCTGCCCCGGGGACGTCTTCCAGTTGGCCTAACTTCAAAGTACTCATATTCAAATTTATTGCTCCAATTTCTTTTCAAGAAGACTTGGATAGGATTTGTGACTGGGCGAGAGCTAACAAGTTTTTTTTTTTTGTTCTTCCCTACCTTGCCTTTTAGGCTATACGGGAATTTCCCAGGCCGGAGGGTGAGGGTGGGGAATTTAAAATCCCCTCCGCCACCGGGACACGAACTCGTACTTTTTAAATCTCCTCAAATCTGTAATCCAGTTGCCAGGCAACTCGCGGTGCTGTGTACACGCTTTAGCCCATGCGGCCACCCCACCCCTCGAGAGTTAACAAGTTGAAGTTGAATGCGGAAAAGATGAAAACAATCTTAATAAGCAACAATCACTTTCTTAAAACTATTCCAAATATTCCCACTCTGTTAATACATGATAGTCACATCTCTCTATCAAAAACCTTGGAATAACCTTTGATCAAATGCTTCCCTGATAAAACGATGTATCATATATCACCCACCATACCGTTTCCATCTTAAAACGTCTAAATTACGTCTGTCACCTATTTCCTCTTGAAACCCGTAGGCTCCTAGTCACTTCCTTAATTTTTCCCCACTTTGAATATTGCTGTACGGTATTTGGGGGCGTCTCTGGGGATCTTGAGATGAAACTAAAACGTTTGATAAATTGCTTTGTACGATTCATCTTCAAGATCCCAAGGGACGCTTCTGTTTCCTGTTTCTATGCAGAGTTGAAGTGGCTTTATTCTTCTTATCATCGTAAGTATTTCCTGGCATCCTTCCTCCTTCAAGTCGTCCAATCTCTTCATACATCTCCGAGCTTCTTCAACTCAAATCCACTGTTCGTTCCCGCAATACTTGTTCCCGGTTTTCTTATTTATATATAAGGGCCCTCCCAACCACTGCTTTCGACAGATCGTTCATTATCCGATCATCATCTCTATGGAACTCCATCCCTTCCCACATCCATCAATCCAAAACCCTTCCTACCTTTAAATTCCACATGTTCAATCATTTCTTATCCATCCAGTCCCCATAACATTGTAAATAGATACTACTGTAAATATGTATATATATTATTAGATCCTACTTCATTATTTTTAATTCATGTTTATTTTCAATTTTTTATTTTTTATTATTAACTGATTTAAGTTAGAAATTAACTTTTTTTTTTTTTATTATTATGACTATTTAATTACTCTGTATTTTATTTATGTATCTCTGAGGCTCCTGAGCCCACATTTCTATCTTTCTCTATTCTTTTAAAGGAACTCGTCCCAGAATAAATAAAGTATTATTAGTATTAATTTAAGTTTCGTCTGCTCCTTCAGTCTTGTCAATAGACATAGTGAGAGTCTAATTGTAAAAAGATTTGTAGTCAAGATAAAATATCTTATTACTTATATTGATATTCTTGAAACTTATAAACACTGATTAGAGGAAGAATGGATTAATAACATTTGTTATATTTTTTACATTTTTATTAAAACCACTCTCAACTCAAAACTAAGCTAACTCATATGTTGCTTCACTAATTCATAATTAAATAAATGTTTTACATAACATTTTTCAAAGGAAGGAGATGGTCTGGGGTTGCGTTCATAAATAGGCTAAATAGTGGTAAAACTGTTTTATTGAAAGCCGACGTTTCGACCCGACTTTGCAGGTCTTCTTTAGGGAGGTGTGTTCAGCTAGGAGTTTCACTTAGAACTCAGGTTTTTCCCAATTACCCACACATGTTAGCTTCCCCTATACCTGCCCTTACCCTTGGTTTTCCAGTTCTAAGTGAAACTCCTGACTGAACACACCTGTAAGTCTCTAATTTTATTCTTCCATTTTATTTATTTATTTATCTAATTTTGGTTTCCTTTTTTCTTTTCTTTCTCCACATTCCTTTATGTCTATTATTTCATATTATATCCTTTTTCCTTTTCTTTCAATCTCTCCTGTAGATTTGTAGAAGTATATTCACATTTTCATTTATTATATATTACACTACAACAATTGTTAGCATCTATTTACTTCAGTTTAGGATCTTGTTACTCAGCTTACTTTGTTCATATTTTATTGTACTTACTGTTTATAGTTTTAATAAGCTTATTCATATTGTTTATAAATTATGTCTAAATATTATGTAACTGCCAAAATTCTCTATCTTTTTGTATCTTCAGTTCTAAGTGAAACTCCTAGCTGAACACACCCCAAAGTCGGGTCGAAACGTCGGCTTTCAATAAAACAGTTTTACCACTATTTTTAGCCTATTTATGACTGCGACCCGGGACCATCTCCTTCCTTTATAATGCAACGGTCAATTATTAAATATTCAATATAACATTTTGCAATCCTCATTTCCAAGCCATAAATTAATTTCTATTTTAAAATATTCTTCTTAATGTAAAATATTTTAAATTTTGCAGGAGAAGTCGGAAAAGAAATGTACATAGTGAATAGAGGAAGACTTCAAGTGGTTGCTGATAATGGTCGAACCGTGTTAGCAACTCTCAAAGCAGGCTCTTATTTTGGGGAAATTAGCATATTGAATATGGGCACTGCAGGTAAAAATTTGGGTAAATATCACCACATCGCAAACATTTTTTTTTAATATTTATTTCTGTATTAATTAATTTGCATCTTTTATTCTTTTAATCTTGTTTTTCTTTAAATTATTTCCCGACATGTATGCATTAATCTTACATCCATTTGTATTTGTTTTTTTGTCATTGTTAGTTTTTGTTTTAAATTAATTTTAAGCATGACGTTAAATCTATTTTTTATGCTTTTTAGCTCACACATGGCACTTTTTTTTTATCTTAGCTATAAAATAAATGTGATTTAAAGTTATTTCAACTAATTATTTGTTATAATTAATTTAAATTAAAGGAAAGATATTGTAGACTGTATATGTACTCTTGATACATTCAAGAAGAGAAAACTAATTTAATATCTCATTTAAAATAATTAATATTTAATAACTGTAAGACAATCTTCATTTTATGAAACCATAAATGTTCTGAGACTTTAAAATACTATTTAATGTTATATAATTAAACTTAAGAAAATAGAATATATTATCTTCATATTCAATTTATTCGTGACCAAATTAATCATAAATTACATATACTCGCAAAGAGGATAATGCATGTGATGATGAAACCAGCTTTGGCATAATCTGTTTTCCTGCTAATTTTTATTTAAGAAATATTCTGCTCATGCTTGACCAAATTTTCATCCTTGTGCAATTACATCAACGAAAATCAGAAGAATATGAAAATTTGCATGCTTTGTTCATCGATTTCAACTGACAATAATTGTCTATTAAGGAGCATAACTTGGTACTGATAAGGTTTTTCAAAAACCATTCTAATCATACAGACATAAAGAGAAATATTTGTGTTATCATGGATTAGGCTGGAGAGAATGTGATGATCCTTAGAAATAAGCATAAAAATTTTATAACCAGCTCCTAAGATTCCGTGATTGTATTCCTCTAAAACCAAACAGCTCCTTGTAACATCCCTTACATTCTCCCACTTCCCCATCCCATTTGGTGTATGGAGGGCTATCTACTGGGTTAGAAATGAGACTGGAGAAACTCATGAACTGTTTCATAAGATACATCTTTAGGATCCCCAGGCGTTCTCATGTTTCATTCTGGTATACCGATTTGAACGGGCTTTATACTGCTTCTTGACTGAAACTTCTCCTTGGTAGTTTTCTTTTTCCAAGTCCTCCGAACCAAAAACCCTCCCTACATCTCTGGACTCCTTACTCTACATTCCTCTATCCACTATCTCAATACCAGGTCTCAACAAATAGATTTATATATCTCCTCCCATAAAACTACTTCCTTCAGCAAATCCTTCATCATTCGTGCTACCTCCTTTTGGAACTCTCTATCTACCTCCATGCGTCAATCCTCTTCCACAAATTCCTTCAAACAACTCCTGTTCCACCACCTACTCCATATTTAAAATCCCGCAAACATGTAAAATTGATTTGCTTCTGTAAATTGTTTAATCCAATCAACTACACAATTTCAATAACAATCAACAGCTAATTAGTTAGTATTTTGTATTTCTCTAAGCCATACTAAGACTCATAAATATGTAACTCTGTTATTATTCTTAGGAGACTGTAGTCTCAAAATAAAAATTATTTTTTCATTCAAAAATTTAAATAATAATAATAAAACCAAACTGTGATCATAGTTTAATTATTTTATCCAGGGATAGTGTTATGGGAGGGTAGGTGTGCATACTCTCATTCTAAAATAATTTAATTTAGAGATGAAATTTCTGCAGTTATGACATTCAACAACATTGCTTCATGAACTAATTTAAGTAATTTGTGTGTAACAATAAAATTAAAAATAAAATAATTATTTAATGAGCAGTCTAAGGTTGTAAGAGGCAGGAGCTAATTCATAAAAAAGGATAAAATTCTTATTTAAAATTATTGAGATGTATAACTTAAAGTTGTTTAAAAAAAAAAAAAGAAGGAAAGCCAAAGGATTTGTGAATAAAGAAATAATTTAAAAAAGTTATAATTTTAATTAGAGAACTTATAGAGTAGTAAACTATCTATAAATTTTATACATAAAAAAGTTTTATTTTTATCACTATTATTGTTTTGTTTTTTGAACTTTTTGAAGATGGCTAGTAGAGCTGAAACGTTTCTATAGTGAAATTTCTTGTTGAAATTTTTTTTTAATAATAAAATATAGACTATGGGGTTTAGAAGATCTTTTTTAAAAATAAAATTAACCTTGTATTGATTTAATATAGCAATTAAATTGAGATCTCATAAAATAATGAATAACCCAATCAAGATGGTTTATCATAAAATAATTATTTTTTATAATGGAAATACTTTTAGGCAGTAAAAGAGTACTGGTTTAATTCTGCCTTGTTTATTTATTTTACTGAATTCCCCTTCTTTTGCTAGAATAGGTTAGTTACCTACATATAATCTGTACTTCCTGTCCTAGTTTGGCATATAAACCAAGAACATAAACATAAACCATAAATAAATAACATCTTTAGAGTGGTTAGACTTTCTCCTAAGATAACACACATTCCTGGTAATGGTAAAGGTTGTCCTTGGTAATGGTAAAGGTAAATGGAATGAAGATAGCACTGATCATTATATCATGATCATCATATTACCTTAAAAATTTATAAATGCATTCACTATTGGATGAGGAAAAAAATATATTTAATAGTTCTCAAGAAATCTATTTGCTATTTATTATTTTTGGCAGTTGGTGTCTCTTCTCCTGTTTGGCCTTTGTTTATTATGTATTCGATTAGTATGAATATAAATTTAATATTTAAAATGTGTGCTTAGCATGATTCTAAGTCAAAGTGTTATGTATTTTATTTTATTTAACTATATGATAATTTGCCTGTTTTGATAATGTTTATCCTATTCTGGTTTTTCAATTGATTTGATGTCTTATTCTTTGAAACTACCCAGTTGACTTAATCCAGTTTTGGACTAAATTTTTTAAAAAATGGATAAAAACAAATTTAACTGTTTACTTTCACAAAATATTTAAAGAAGTATTTTTTTTATATTGAATGATTTTTTTTTTTAAACTATCATACACATATAAAAATTTAGGCAAATTCATTCTGAGAACTATCTATTAATTAAGTTGACTGTGCAGGAAATAGAAGAACAGCATCTGTTCGCTCAGTCGGCTACAGTGACCTTTTTGTACTATCCAAGAAGGATATGTGGGATGTCTTAAAGGAATATCCTGCCGCTAGAGTCCGCCTTGAAGCAATAGCAGTCAAGAGACTCGAGAAATACAAGAGGGCTCCTCTTCAGAAAGGTACAATATTATTTATATTACAAAATTTGTATTCATATATTTATATTAGTTATATTATACTGTTACTATAGTGTTTCTCTAGGATATAAGGATATTTCAAGTGGTTTCAAAAACAGGAATATGATAATTTTAGAAAATAATAATTTAACAAAATAATATCTTGATGTGTGTAATTTTTAAAAAAATGTTTTATACATTTATTCTAATATACGATATATTTATTTTCAATAGACTAGACACACTATTGACAAATGTGTAGCAATCTAGTGTATGATAGTTTTATCTTTAACTGTTTATTAAAAATGCAACCATATTGGAGAATATTTTGGTAGCAGTTGATGACATTTGTAACCACGATATTAACTTAAAAAATCAATTTAAAAGTTTTATTTCTCCTTGTATCTCATAAAATATCAATTTTTCAAAGTGGCATTTATGGAATCTAAAAGGATATTATTTAACAGCATTTAATTATCATTATATAATTCTTTGGGTTTTGTGATGAATTTTCTTTTTATAAAACCTTAGAGACAGTAAGGAAATAAATTGCTAAAGGGATTTTGTATTGCATCCCCAATTTTGAAAGTTTTTTGTTATTAGAAAAAAAAAAGTTTAAAGTTTTGGTAAAAGAAGGAAATATGCTGCTGATTGGGTAGTGGTTACTGAAGAACTACATTTTTTATATACTATAAAAAAGTAGAACTTTATTACTTGGAGATTACAGTAACCCAAAACAATAATAACTTTTTTGATAACCTAAGCAACTAATGGAGTAACATGCTTGAGAATGATTTCTCTATGAAACTGAAAATTGTTTCTGGAAGTTAGAAGCAAAGAAATAATTCTAATTTTGGAGTAAGTTAACCCCTATAGTGTCAAGTTCCTCTGTTTTATGTTATCAACAATTTCACATACAAGAATTAATCCACACTTTCATTTCAAAATTGTACTATTCTATCAATTTATCTCCAAAACTGATATTGCATGTTATAAAACTGGATATTTGACAGGATATTTCATGGCTAAGGACAATTTTTATTACGTACCCTTGAGATGAAATCATCTCGTAAATATACATTTTATATCTATATCTTATTATTTTAAAATTGACGAGTTATTCATCGATTGAGAATCGTGTTGCTGTTTATTTAAGGAACATTGTCTGTTATATGGTACATTTAGCCTCTAGCCCTAAAACTAGCTGATGATTCATAGCTAGTTTTTCAAATCTGAAGAAAGAGCAGTCATTGAATGACACTATAGCATATTTATTTCGTGATTTTCTTTCAATTCTTGAATGGAATCACCTTCTTCAGTCTATCTTGTTAATGGGATCGGGTAAGTTGAGTTTCTTTAGTTTTTATTATTTTATTTTATTTTTTTATGGTAGCATTGCGAGGAAGTGAATAGTGGAATGGCTTTGGCAGTTTATGGCAGTGTGGAAAAAGAACTTTGTCTATAAATATTTGCTTTACAAATTTGTGATGGGATATATTTTAGCTTTGTGTATGTTATTTGGCTGATAGTGTACAAAAAAAGTGTTTTAAGATTAAAAATAGTAGACTTGAATATTGTTTTTCTTTATTTATGAGGGAACCTTCGAAAATGATGTTGATGGTTCTTAGATTAGACTAGTTTTAATAATAGCAGACATTCGGTTCTAGATGGAACAAAAAATACTGTAACGCTACTGATTTCAAATTAACAGAAATATTTCATAAAATTAATTATAAAAGTTACTTTATGATAAAGAAAAGTTGATTTATTTGATCCAAATAAACCAGTTAAATGTTTTGAATAAACTTGTAGAGCTAAAATAGACAAGACAAAAAATATTTTATATGTGTTAATTAAACTCTCATCTTTTACATTACTATTTTTCTTCAGTTTTCCCAGTAATTAAAATCTGCAAAACCAATTATTATTTTTTTCATAAATCAAGGCCCACCAATTATAATTGACAAGTTCATCAATAAGGCTCAAGAGTCAATCATATAATTAGAAAATTCAAATAATAAAAAGATCTGGTGTATACATCACACAAATTCAATTACTGTTCTTCTATAAACAGAAATTATTATCTAGCAAAATTGGACTATTTAAAAAGTTTTTGAAGTCCATTTATTAGAACTAAACCATAAAGAACATATTTGTAAATTTTGTTCATATTTATCAATGGTAGGCAACAAAAATCTCATAACTCTATCAGTCTATTTGAATCACAAAACTCCCGTATCTAAATACAAAAAAAAAAAGATTTAAAAAGACCTATATTTAATCTCTGAATAAGACAGGATTGTGCTTCATAGTGAAAATTATTGGAATTAAATTTCTATCACTTGTTACATGTATTTAAACTCTTATATATACCTAATTATTTAAATGCATAGAGTATGAATGTGATCTCTGGACACTATTATAAATGTCCTTTGAGACAGATTGTAATATTTTTTCTATAAACAAGTTTTAAAAAATTATTTAAATATATTACACTGTCCCACTTGCTTAAGGTGATACTGTGATTTTGTTTATTCCATTTTTAAAATTTGTATCATTATTTATATATTTTTATCTTCTTAAAGAGCATATCTAATAATTTAGATGCTATTTAAGAATAGGTTTCTTGACACCATCCTTGTTAAGACTATATAACTAAAATTTCATTTAATCTTTGACTTCTTTATATATTTTTGTTCATATATAAACATTTGGACGAAACTAATCAAAAGAAAATGGTAATTGACACAACAAACACTCGTAACAGACATCACCAAACCAGAAGAATTCATTTTGTAATAGAAATATATAATTAATTTTACAGCGGCTATGGGGAGAAGCCAGTCGACGCCAGGTCTTGTTGAAACAAGAGGCAGGATTCCACTGGAAGATATGTGGATATCCCCAATGGAACCTCTCATCAGGGGAACGTCCAGTCTGGGTCCACCTTACACCACTAACTCCATCTTCAGTCCATCTCTAAGTCCGGCATCTAGGTAGGTTCTATTAGGAATGAGAAACGATTCTTAATTGGTGTCTCCCAATTCATTTATCAATATTTTCCATTGGATGAATTTTCTCTTATTATAGTTAGAACAAAAATAAATAATCAGATCTGAACAGTTTCTGTTTTTTCTTAAAAATCCTTTTAGGAAAATTGACTGCTTGAATGGAAAAAAATAGTGTACATTTGTGCTTCAAAAGAATTCAAATGACAAAGAATAAATATTAGATTGAGATTAGTCTTTCAAATAATAAAAAAAAAGGTTAATATTTAGCTAAAAACTATAGTGCCTCTCAAAGGTGTGGTGAGGACTGGAGGTGAAGCTTGAGGTTACTATAGTGTGATGTATACAACTACCAAACTTGATACCCAATCTTTCTCTAGTCTAATTTATAAAAATTCTTTTATAAAAGCTAATAAAATAAATTTTAAATTTAATATTTTTATTCAGACGTCAGGTTGACAGATATAAATGAAAAGATATATCTTTGGTGAAAGTTTTGAAAATCAAAACACTATCCTAACTAAAAGGTATAATATAATAAATAATATGAGACAGGCTGACTGACATGTCATGATGTAATCATTTCTCCCATGGCATATCTTCATCTCCATCACTTTTCTTTAATGCTAATTATTTTTACAAATATGCATCAGAAGAATTCAGGAGTTTTTGTTTTGTATTTTTATAATCTAATCTTGATACGAATATAAAAGTCAAAGACTCCTGCATGTACACAATTAAAAAGGGAAAAAAAAGAAGGGTGAAACAGTGCATTCGAATTTGCTATTATATCTATTGCTTTGAAACCATAAATCACCACTCTTCACTTCACTGATTAATATTTCCATTATTTTTTTTATTCTCTTTCACTTTTTTATTCAAAGATAGAACACTGCGAAATTAGTTACTTGCTTTATGTGCTAATGTTTAATTATTGCTCCGTATACTAAACTATGAAATATTGCAGTGATTAGTGAAAATGAGAGGATAAAGGCATTAGAAAATTATGGAGGAAAAGAAATAAGTGATGTTTGCAAGAAGTTAAAAAGAAAGCTTCATTAAAATGATGAAATTACTGAAAGGTATTCATTAATTGCATGTGGTAACAAAGGCTATCCACAGCTCTATTTTTTTTTTTATTTATTTTTTTTTTTTAACTTGGCGTTACAGCCCTGTCAGAACCTGGGCCTCTCTTATGGTCCTTCTCCACTCACCACTATCTCAAGCAAGCATTCTCCATCTTCGAATTCCCATCCTTTTCAGGCTGCCCTCTACCTGGTCTAGCCATCTCAGGCGTGGTCTTCCTCTTCCAGCAGGCCAACCTCTAGGAAGTGTTTGGGAATCGTGTCTTGGAGCATGCATGCTACACGGCCAAATCATCTGATCTGGTTTCCCCTTACAATTGAGACCAAATCCGGTCTCGCATACATTTCATACAGCTCTTTATTATTGCAAATTCACCATTGTCCATGTTCGCACACCAGGACATAGATCCTGCAGAGAAACCTTCTCTCCCATGCGAGTAACCTTTTTTTCTGATGCTTTCTTTGCTTTAAGATCACCCAAGCTATATGTGACAACGGGTCTGATGACTTTCTCATATGCCGTGATCTTTGTTCTGTAAGAAAGGTATCTGTAATTTAATATTTTTCACATTGGAAAACAGCACCTATTCCCAACAGCCATCCTTGCTTTTAATTCTTCCACCATTTCATTGTTTTCTGTAATTAGAGCTCCCAAATATTTAAAATGCTCGACCACTTTTAGGGTGTGGTTACCAATTGTGACGTATTCGGCTGTTTCACTTCGCTTTTTTGACGTTTTCATATAAACAGTCTTCAGTTTATTTAGTTAACCATAGCTCTTCTACCTGTCAGAAATTCCCTTCCCTATAGTTCCCTCAACTTCAAGGACAGAGACAAATCAATCGGGATCTACAAATTTCTTTCTCTGAAGCTGAACATGGACTGAACCTATGTCCTCACTGAAAATGAGTTTCTTCAGCTAAGGTTCAAAAGTAGTGGTGTGGGCGAACAATATTAACCAAGGAGCCTGAGGAACAAAATAAGGCCCTATATAAGGAAGACAAATGGATAATGGAATTCACCCAAGAGAGATATATTCATAGTAGAAGGAGAATCTATTTCTTGTTATATAAAGACTTCTTAGACTAGAGGTCAAGTTAATAATGTAGAGGAACTTGATAGCAGAGACTAACTTTTACAGCTTAATGTTACTGCTGCTATTTTTGTATTTTCAAAAGACTAGGCAGGGGTGTCAATAAATTTATAAATGAATTTTTATTTATTTCAAATAATATTCCAAAATTTACTTTATTCTACATATTTATCTATATTGCCTTCCTATTTCTTAATCCTACATATTGATTTTACTTTTGTTCCCATAATTTTTTCTTTTATTTATCTATTATTGCAGATATACTTTTGGGATTGCATAAGTTGAACAATAAATAATTTGGTATCTTAAAATATTTTTTAATAAATAAACGTTATCTTTGAGATATTTCTTTCTTTATTATTGTTATTTGTTGTTGTTAACTATCAATTTCAATGGGCTGTTGTAAATATTGCACAGATTGCCTGTTAGAACTACTGAGTCTGCTTTATCGGTCATGTCAAGCGGGCAGTCGTCAGATGAACACAGGCAAGCTCAACAAAAAACAATAGGTAAGTATTCTATTAGATTGCTTTAATACTAGCTTAGCTTACATAATATATTTTATTTAATCCATAAAGGAAAATAATTCATATGTTTTATTTTGATAAAAATAGTTTTATTTTTTAAAAAGAAAAAACTATATTTGATTTAAAATTGATAAGAAAGTAAAGTAAACATTTGGAGATTTTAACTAAATGAAAGATGGGAAGTTGCAAGAGATGTAACTACAATTAACTCTTAGTGGACCGTGTAATCTTACAAACTGAGCAATAAAAAGTTGATTGTTTTTAATGCATGACTTTTCTTTCATAATATTTGTTTCTGAAGAATTTCAGGGATTATTAAGAAAACATTTCTATACTACACAACTTTTCTTAGATTTTTCCAAGTGACAACAAAAAATAAACGAGTTTCCTAGGAGCCTTAGAATATTTTTTTTTTAAATTATACAAACTGCTCAAAAGGAGATTGATTTTTATCAAACAAATTTAAACCCCTATAAAAAGTTGTACCAAGTTTCATCATAACTGTCTTATTCATTCAAATATAATGGTGCGTAACTAAAAGTAATAAGAGGCTAATTTGTCCTTTTGATTCTTTAAATTGGCCTTTGAGAAAAATGGATACCAGTATCAGGCTCTGCTTATACAGTAATTAATTTCACAAGTAATATTAAATATATTAGAAACATGTATTAAAGGCACAATAATATATTCCAAACAGAATTTTTTTCTCACCAACAACAATGCAATTAGACTTAATTTTTTTGTTATAGCTTCAGATAAAACCGTTTTATTTCAAGTTAAAATTATCACCAATCCTTTCAAATAAGAAATTTTTTGAAATAGAATACATCTTCCACACATACTTAAAAATCAGATTTAAACCTCACAACCAATAAAATAATAATTTGATAGAATTGTAACTATGTTTTTGTATATGATGCAGAAACTGTTTAACAGTAATTAGATACATTCTTTCTTTTTTTAAGATGATTAACATTTCATCATATTTTGTTATTAAAAATATTACAAAGATATTAAAAATGAGCTTTTGCAGACACATTTAAATTTATAAATTATTTACATGCTTATATCAATAGTGATGCTTTAAAAAAAATGTATTGAGATATATAAAGAGTAAAAAAATATATAAAAAATATTTTTAAAAAAATTCTGCCAATTAGTTTGATCTCATGAACTATTAGTCTGGTCAGTCCTGTATGTGGTCAGAATTTTTAATGGATTATAAGTTGATATTAAATATCATTCCTTTCATTTGTAAATCTTACTTGCTTAATATTAGTTTTTAACTTACTTAATATATTTTATTTAAGTATGATTACAGGACTCAAATTTGTTTGCATGTTCTTAAAAATGGCATGCATATATGATCTGTAAATATGGACTGTTTTAATTACTTGTATTATTAAAACAAATATAATTTGCCTTCTCTGTCTTGTGAAATTGCATGTGTGTCCATTTATTCATGTAAATAAAAAGCTGCTTACTGATCTAGATTTACTTATTTAACAATGAAGAAATATTATTTTAATGCAATTTAAAATCAGTCATTGACTGTTTTAGGCTGATTTCGGAACATAAAAATTATCGCTATTCTAACAATTTTTATTAGGTACTACTAAATTTTTAAAGAATTAGTAGACAACATAACAACTAAAATAGGAAAACAAATATTTTCCTCGTTTTCATTTTTTCAAGAAAACATTATCTATTCAGTAAGAGAGTATTTCAAATTCATATAATAGACTCCCTGTGTTATATATGTACTCATGTAATAACAAGTGTACACAAATATGAATTGTTTAAAGATATGTATATTGTGAAATATGAGTTATAAACTCCTGTATGGGGAATAAGAACTGGAGTAGACCTATAGTAGAAAAATATAATTCAGTGTATTGTTCATAAATATATCTTGAAAATGATTAGGTGAACAAGTAGTAACATAACAATAGAAACATGTGGGTGGGGTGACCAAATGGGCTAACGAGTGTGCACAGCATCGCCGTTGCCCGGCAACCTGACATATGAGACAAAAATGAAAAATAGTTCCGAGTTCGCATCCTGGTGCCGGAGGAGTCTTTTAAATCCCTGCCCACACTCCCTGGCCCGGGAGAACCCTGTATAGCCTTAATGGCGAGGAAGGGGAGGATCCAAAAAAAAAAAAAAAAAGTAGAAACATAACAGAGAAGTTATAATTAGTATGCTTTGGGGACAAAGATTTGTTTTATTTATAATAGTAATGGTCTCAAAAAAAAAGTTTGTTAAATAAAAGTGTATTGTTTATTTAAATTGTACAATAAAAAATAAAACTTTGGTTTGTCGTTTGATTTTTCTTTTTAAATATATAAATAAAAGTAGTTTTTTTCATGAAAATAACCACTTAAAATTATACAATATTGTTCAGTTTATCAAATAATTTCATAAATCATGTGTATGAAACAGGCCTAAAATGAAAGTGTGATGTTGATTTAAATTTTTCAAGGAAAAAAAACTTTAGGTTTGTTCTTTCATTTTTGTTTAGTTTTTGGTTTTTCTGATTGTTTATTAATTGATATTACTTAATTGAAGTCATCACAGAACAACAGTCAAGTAAAGAACAAACCAATCTTCATTAGTTGGCTTTAATGCAATTAATAAATTCCTATTTTTGAAACAAAACTTGAAATATCCTTAATTTTGTTAATAAGCTTATGAATTATTAATCAATTTTTATTATTTTCTACTTCATTGTAAATTTTGAGTGTTTATTATACTTTTAAAAAAAATAATTTTTTTTTGTTAGATCCATTGGAGGGGCAGCTGCAGGCAGAAGAGCCAATGATAGCAGAAATCAAGCGACTCAGGGAGCGACTTGTCACGCTGGAGGCTGAAAATGCTACCCTCAATATGAAATTGAGCCAGCAGCAGTGGGAGGTAGAGCATCGCCTCGCCGAAATAGAAATGCAGATCTGCGGAGCATCGTCAGCTGACAGCTCAGCAGAGGACAACGAGAGGAACAAGGAGAGCATCATTTAACATAGATGTCATCCCATGGTGTCTGTGTTCGCCTGAGCCATTCCGGTTTTTATAGATTTTTCTTAAAACTTTAAAACTGAAAAGGACTCTTTATGAGGCTATTTACTGACACATTACAGACACAAAAGTGCAAATATGTTTAGTACAGTTTTTGTGGAAAGTGACAATTTGAATATTATGGATTATGCATGCCTAAAGTTGTTTGAAACTTAGATCAAGGACATTTATAAATGGGTTCGATGTAAATAGATGATACTATTATTATTACTAATTTTCCTTAATCTAGACTTATGGTCAGTTATTTTCATTTTTCAATGAAATTTATAAAATGCCATTTAGGTTTGAAGAAATAAAAATGTTCTAGCCAAATTTGATTGTGATAAAGATATAATTTATATTTATAAGAGGAACAATGGTCCATGGGCCTCACATAATGAAGGGATAGTTTTTTTTTAATGAATAACTTTTTTATCAAAAATTACATATTTTTTTAATAGATAAGTTTATTGTTTTTATTTTTTTAAATTGTTTTTTTTTCTAATATATTGTTTTAGAGGTCTCAAAATGGTCCAGGTACATAATGGTATAACCCTAATTTTCTAAGCAAAAAGGCTTCTTAAATATTGATTTAATTTTTTTTTTTTGTTAAAAGTCTAAACACATAAGCACATATTTGAAGAAAAATATACTTTTATCAATAGTTATATTTTTATCATTTTTAAATGTCATGTTTCATATCAGTATCATAGCAACTCTCAAACAGATGATAGTTCATAACTTATGATAAAATGAACTGCGTTCAAATAATCATAATATATACAAAAATTAAAAATTTAACTTTTTCTCAGACATTACAATTCAAAATATATGATATATCTTAACTATAAATTTAAAAAATGAAATTATAGGCATTCAATATTATTTATTAAATACAACTGGTCAGTTTTTAATAATGATCAAAATCATTATGTTTCCTGAGAGCTTTCTGCTGGAAAATCAATATTTCAAAATATAAAAAGGTATTTATGTACTATTTACAATGAGGATAAGTTATGGGATTATTTGAAGTGAAAATGATTTATCTCATATTGTTATTTAATAATCTTTTAAGAAATCCTTATTTTTTAATGAACCATTGGATGTAAAAGTGATTTAATTCATTTTTACAGTGAATAATTTATTAATTATTAACTATACAGTGAACAACAATGCTGTTTGATAGTTGAATGTGCTATATACTGATTAATCTTAATAGAGAAAGAAAGCCGTTATTCCTTCCAAAAAAAAAAATAATAATAAGCCTTAGCGAACCAGAAGATGAAAGATATCACTAATCGATGTTTACATTCTTCCGTTCACTGGTCACCGTCTAAACCCAACCCCACAAGATTAGCCATAACGCAATCTACCCGTTGGATGCTTGCCAGTCTGCACAGTACATATTATCTTTTTAGGAATTCTTTCCAAAAAAGATAATATGTTAATAATTCCAGCAACTAAATATGCTCATTTTATTTGCCTCAACTTAATCATTTCAATTATATTAACCGGGTATAATTCATGCAATTTGGTATTGTTTAACTACTTAAATTCTCCAGTTGACTCATCCTTCGGTCCGAATATTCTGCGCAATACTTTATTTTCAAAAATCTTGAGACATTACAAAAAATAGCTATTATTATTCTGTAGAACTCCCAAAGTGTTGGATATTTCAAAGCTTATACGAGGAGTTGAATCCAAAATTGGTAGTTGGTTGAAGTCAAAAACTGAAGCTTTGATAAGATGGTAATAATATTACTGGTTTTTTTCCACTGGAGCCAGGATCACATCTATCCTCTCTTCACTGCAGTCACCCAACTGCTTGCCAAAACAAAAACCTTTGTCGCTCTCCTCTTTGGGATTTTCCTTCTTGGGAAACTACAGAGCAGCCATTTTCTTTTTCCTGCACTAGTATAACTAGATTAGCTTGCCTTTTAATTGTTCAACATTAATTTATAAAACCCTTCTTACTCCCTTCCAATAAAGGTGTACATTACAATACATACATTTATTCAATGAAATTCAAACAGAAGATAAAAACAATAAGTAATAAAGACCTTGGTAATTTTGCCCTATATTAAATAAGGTAAAAACAATAGTAACATTTCTTAATTACTTAAACAGTTCACCTATTTCAAAATTATATAAGTGAACAATTATTTATTTACGTTAATAACTGTCTCTGATATTTGTAATTTGAATTTATGTATTGATTAAGATAAATATATGAATAATAATGGTATAAAATGGTAAGATTTGTTAATCTGATATTAAATACAAAATATGTGTATTTTTAAAATTTATATAAACATGTATTCTAGAAATGTAGAGTAAAGGCGCCAATTATTGACACTTGGTGCCCTTTCAAAGTCTGCTTAATGTGCCTTTGAAAGGGCACAAGTTTGAAATCCTATTTGAACTTAAACTAAACACTTATTATATCAAATTTGATTCACAAGTGTCAGTAATTGGTGGCAGTCAATAATTGATACCTTTACCCTATATGCACAAATGGAAAAGTTCTGTATAATTCGGTCTGATAAATTTTAAGGTATCTTTAAATGTATCTTATAATAAATAATAACTTGAAATTTTTAGTTAAAACATCTTACACTTCATGAAAAGGCAAGGTATAACTACAAATTAACGTATTTTTTGGAATATTTAGTAATTAAAATAAATAATTACAGCCTCAGCTTTTATTAGTATTTTTTTTTTTTTTTTATCTGCTTACTATAAAATCAGTCTTCAAAAAAATTTTCAGCTTTTAAAATAATGTTCTAAATAACCCAGCTTTCAAATTGAAAGTTTTAAATTAATAATTTTTATATAAAAATACCATCTCAGTTCAAATCTAAAAGGAATAGAAAATGCACACTACATTGAGGTAGGAATGTTCAGGATTCATACTAATCAAGTGAATTTTATTTATTTATTTTTCTTTTTTAAAGAAAATTTAAAGAATGAAGAACACTTTTAATACATTATTAAAATTATTATACTTCCAAATCATATTAAATATAATTTGGCCAGAACATTTTTAAGCATATGATTCGTTTTTCTTATTTTTCTGATTATTATGAGCATGGAATGTTCATACTAAAGGCCTATTAGTTCTAATGATTGTTCAATAATACTTTCGTCTAGGATTAATGTACAAGAGTAATTAATAATCGTGTTCAATGTATTCCGTATATTTGTATATAATGTATATATTGAGAGTCAATTTGTTATATAAAATTAATTAAATGGTAGAAAAGATGATCGATTTATTGTTATTGATATATATATTTTAATTTGAGCTGAATATAGGTATTGCTTTGTAGATATAGTTTTAAGATAAATGTTCTTTTTTTAAGATATTATGAAAAATAATAATAAAAAAAAATCAGCTTGACTATTTGTGGTATTATATCAATTTGAATTTTTCAAGCTGCATGATAGAATTTATAGTTTACTGTTTAGCACTGCCTTACAATTTAAATATATATATATTGTTTATAATTGTTTTCATAATCACTTAAGCTTCTCAAGCTATATTTGTCAAGAACTATAAAAACAATAACTTCATGTTCAATATCCTGTCAAGTCTGGCATTGTTTAAACGAAAATGCAATGCATGACTACTGAAGGATAATGTTAACTGTAAAATAAATGTTGAAGATGATGATAGTTGTCAAAAGTAATAAGGATAAAGTGTTTATCAATGTTTCACAATATTGTTAAGAAAAATATCACATTTACCACTAATTACCTGATGTGTCTTCTGTTTTCTTACTGTTTTGTGTGTAATTTTAGTCCTAGAAGATTTTTATGCATTCCTAACTATTCCAGTTTAAAAAGGCAGCTATGAGACTTAATAGCTCTTTTTATTGTAAATTACATTTATGACGGGATAAATCAGTTTTTTTAGATAATTGATGAAAAAAATTTATAAATGCAGGAAAAATTTTAAATTTATAAAATGTCCATTGCCTTATCAATTATTTAATGAATCTTATAATTAATGAATGGTTTTCATGTAAGGAGAAAATAATTGAATCTACTTCTAATTGCTGTTTAAATATGAAATTTGCCCTCATTTGACCACTTTTTATACTTATCACATTTACAGCCATACCTTCAGAAACGAATAAATGTATGTTTGAAAAGAAGTAAAAACAAAAAATAATAATTTCTCTCCATATTTGTAATAAAATGCATTATAGATTAAAAAATAAAATGCATGTGCTGTAAAATAATCTAATTTTATAAAATAATTTCTTTATTTGGACCGTGAATAGCTAAATTTTTTTTTAAGGAAAAATAAATTTTGGCCACTTCTTGAAGTGCTGTATGTTATTTCTTGTACTTCCCGGTGGAAATGCTCTATGACTGTAGGTTTTTTTTTTTTTCAAATGTACCAAATCAAACAAACATAAACGCTGCCTTTGGTAAGATTCAGAAAACATGCCAATTAAAAACTGTGCCTCTGAATAGAATCTGCCTCATGTTTAAAAAAACACTGGAAATAAATAAAGGTTTAAATTAGGAACTGGTCCAATTTAGGTGATGTTTTGTTGAAAAATTATGAGCTTTATTGTTTTTGAAATCTTCTTTACTTGGTAAAGATAGCTGAGATCCATCATGAATTCAAGCATCATGGTAACATGTTTGAATGACCTCAGCTTTTGCACGATTTCATGTAATACAGTAGACTGAAAATATTTTTTCTGGGCCAGACATAGCATAAATTGATGCCCATTTCTAAAGAGATTAATTTAGTACACCCAAATCCGTTTTATAGCAACAAGGGAAGCTTAAAAAGCTTTTAATTATGTTGGAATAGTAATATTTCTGTTTTATTTATTATAATTTGGCATAAAAACAAATCAATGAATCCATGTTTCCATTACATAATATTACATCATCCAATCCAATGTCACACGCCTTCAATCAGGATTATCAAATAGATCAGGTTATGTATGTGGTGTCTGCGTAATCTTCTTATTTTATCATTGTTTGTCCCATTTGAAAATCTAAATATATCTGGAAGATAAATATTCAGGACACAGTCATTATAAAGTTTTTATTGGTGCCGACGTTTTGAGCACTGAAGGTATTCAAGTACTACCTTCAATGCTCAAAACACACCCTGATGATGATCCACATGTTTGGGTTGAAACGTCGGCACCAATAAAAACTTTATAATGACTGTGTCCTGATTATTCATCACCCATGATATGTAGAACAGTTGATAAACTGCCTTCAATAATTCACTAAATATATCTGATATTATTTTCTTTAGTATGCATTAAGTCAGCATAAAATTTAAGAAAAAAAAAAAACATCCTTCAGAATGAAGGATTGCTGAAAAATTTTTACCAAACAATTTTTGTTGAACTTGAGCTATTCGATTGATTCTTCATTCATCTGAATATCCACCTGAGCACCTTTTTCTGAAAGCTGAGAAGTGAAAATCGAGAACTTATGGTCACCCTCAACGACTTAGAACTATAGCTAACTGTAGTCACTATTCAGTAACTATATTCATCGCTCTTGATAAGGGCTTATTTCATATTTGTAGATATTTAAAAAACATAACAATGGACATTTTTTAGATAAATTTTAAAAATAATATCAAGTAGTGAAATTGAAACAGTTGTACTATTATTTTGTTTTTTAGTATTTCGCAAACTTAAAAAAGGGAATTCATAAAATATCTATATGATTCTTCATTCAGGGCTCCAAATAGGTAAAAATATTTGACTTTTTGGGACCAAACGATTGATTTACTTTGTAGTTTTAATAATGAACCTGTAAATTTGCTTGAAGGAGTAGACTGTTAAAAATGGCATAAAAAGAAAAAAAAATAATAAATTCAGTTTGAATTTAGTCCTAGGTCTTTGATAAAACATAAAAAAAAGGATTTGTATTTATGTAAGAATGCATATAATGTAGTATTGCATATTGTTGTTATCGATACTTTATATAATTTCTTTGTGCTACCCCAAAAGAGTTTTAAAATTTTTAAATGTAATTAGAATATTAAGGTGCCATCTAAAAATATTCCATTGTACAAACCTACTTTTTGGTAAGTAGATATTCCTGGTTTTGTCCAATTGAATTTTTATTTGTTATTTTTATTAGAATTGCAAGTCGAAATTGTTTAAAAATGGTTTTTGATATCGGTATTAAACATGAATGTGTCATATATCTATGTTTAGCCTTAAATATACAAGTCCAAAAATTAGTGTTTTCAGCAGTTGATTATTTTCATTGGATTTATCTGTTAAGGATCTTAATTACTTCAAAGCTAGGAAAATTTATTGCCAGTATCCATTCAGTCTCAGATCGAACAAGTTCTTGGTTATTATTGTTCCAGAACTAATCCTATAGCGGGAACAGTTTAGTTTGAGGCTGACTGATAGGTTAAGATGAGTTAAGTTTAGTAACTGGTCCCTAAGTCATGTTAAAAGATTTCTAATGTGTTTCTTTAACTGTTTGGTGTGTGCTTAAATTTGTTTGGAATGAAAATTATTTTTTTTAATTTATCTTTTGATTCTCAAAATTTATAAATTGGCAAATTTTATAAAAATTTATAAAAAAAATGGCAATGATTTCGGACTTGTACTATTAAGACTGAACTTGTGAGATATTATTCTTTAGCTTTTATATTATATTCCACTCTGTCGGAATTTTAGCTTTTATATTCCACTGTGCAAAATTTTATATATAAATTTTCAAATCATGATTTCACAATTTATATATTTTTTAAAATGTTGTTGGCGTGAATTTAAAATATGCTTTGTATGTTAGAATATTGTAAAACAATATAAATAAGTGATAAAAAAATATATCATTCCAAAAGAAGTTAAAACTACTTTTCATCAACGCAATTGTATGCAATTTCCTGTTTATAAATGAATTGAAATAACAACACTGCCAAACTTGGTCAACTTGCACATATTAAATATTTGTTTTATTTTAATTGTAATTAAAACCAATCAGAATGCTTATTGTTTAACCTAAGTTTTTATTAAGTAATGCTATTTGGATAATTTATTGTTAGCATTAGATTATTGGAAAGAAAAATTAAAATGAAGAGTTAAACTGTACAAAATTTTTATTATTCATTTTCCCTAAGTAAGAAACTTTGAAAAGAAACATAAATAATAGTACACTTTATCTTTTACAACACTTACAATTTTCAGATAATTAGTTCTTAACCCAGATATTATGATTTAATAAAAGACTATATTAGTTGTAGAAATGAAGTTTTAATGCCATTAATATTCTGTTACATATTTATTATATTGGCAATGATTGTATGTATTTTATTTATATATATATTTTTTTTTTAAGCACTGCTTTACTTCCAAAAAAGATGTTTGGAAAAATTAATTCTGCTCCTCACCAAATAAACAAAGCAGAAATAATATTCTTCAGCAATGTGTATAGAAGAGATATATAAACAGAAGTTTATCATTGATATCAAAAACCTTTAGAGTTTTTATGACATGAATAATAAAAATTTAGTTTTCCAAGTGTAAAGATTTTCATAATGAAAACTATGTCATATGTAGGTTACTTCAAAATGGATTCAAGTAATCATGAAAATTGTTAAATTAGCTCTGTATTTAAATTAATGTAAATAAAGAGAACCAATCTGATATGTACTAGAAAATATTTGTGACTGATATAATCATGGTCAGATTTTATTGTATTTCAATAAGTATTAAATAGAAAAAAAGAAATTTATAAAAAAAAAAAATAATAATGTCAGGGTTTATGTAATTTAATCCAAATGACCATTCGAACATTTCTTCTGTACAATAAACATTAATTAAGTAGTAATTAAATGATAGTACGATAAAAGAACTATTTATAAGAGGAATATAATATTTTTTAATTTTGAAAAACAAATAAATACAAGGCTAACTTCAGTTTTATCACAATTTATTTTGATGTGTGGCTTACAGACTCATAGAAACCAAGAAAAGATATTCAACATTGCCTAAAATTATGTCATAATTTTCTATTATGTAATGTTGGATGAAAATGTTATGTTATGTTTGATATAGATTATCTATTTTTTTTTTATCTCATAAATATTAATTTAATGAGTATTCCTCTTAAAAAAAAAAAATGGTGAAACTTAGTAAATTGGTTTTTAAAATTATGAAATAAAGATTTGATCGATGCAATAGAATTTCATATTGTTACAATCTATATCAAACATTTATTCATAATAAATAAATCTGGCTAAAATTAGCTTGGTTAAAAAATATTGTTAAAAAGTTTTTCTAATATTCTAAAAGATGTTGTTAACTTAAAAATACAACGAGAGACTTATAAAATGTATTGAAGTAATTAAAAGATATAGATATCACTTTGTTAATAATACAATTATATACAATTTTCATCTTTTATGTGATTTATCCAGCTTTAAACAGTCCCCTTCTAGAAAAGTAAAGTTTTTTTAAATTTTTATATCTGATAAAACATACCAGAGTGTCAATTCAAATTGAGAATTTCTTAAGAATCATAAGAAATTTAAAAAATCAATTATATTTCAGTCTTGCAAGACCAACACTGCTCAACACCATTGATGTTTTTGTGAAACATCTATTTTAGGATTGAGAGGACCCAGAAAGATAAATAATTAATATAACTGAAATAACTCATTTAAATTTTGTAAAAAGAAAATCAATCTTTTGAAACCATAATTTAAACAATGCTAGGACAGGTGTACCCATTATATTATGTGGCACAGAGCCCATTTTGTCAAATTATTAACATCTGTCTAAAATTTCATGAATGGCTTCATTTTATTGTAACCAACAACTTTTTAATTTACAAAAATTCTTGGAAATTGGACATTTTCTATTTTGGAGATAAATTGGATTAATTTGGAGTAAGCTTTGTCAATTTAATGAGGTACTAAAAACTTATAAACATCCATTTGCTTCTCACTTTAACTGTAACATAATTTGATTATAAAATTAAGAAAAATGTTGCCAAAAAAATATTGTGTAGTTTGGCATGACCTCCACCCCAGTGTTATAATAATGAGGTTATATCGGCAAAACGATGCAATATTTTTGTAGGCCACTTTTCTCGTTGATTTTATGATCTAATGATCTTATGATTCAAGTGGAAAGTAAATAGGTATTGGTTCCTTTGTTTGAAAATTCTTCCCAATTAAAACCACAAAAAAATATGATTCCCTCCAAGAACTCATAATCTTGTGAATATTTCCCTTATCAAAAATTCTTAACTTTGTAAAAATGTGCTGCCCTCAAAAATTTAGATGGAACAAATTGGACCAACAAAACATCATACAACTGGACATCCCAGACATGGAAAGTTGGGTGATTCCAACTACACTGACAGGCAAAAAATTCCACCCACTTCTTACCCATTAAGAAACCACGTTCCTTTCGTTTCTTATTCTTCACACCCGTCTGGAGATCGAAGAGCGAATCTTGACTCATCTGTAAAAAGTACAGAACTCCATTCGTCCATAGTCCAATGGCTGTGTTCTCGAGCAAAAGCCAGCCATGTTACTCTGTGAGTTCTGGTCAACTCTGGTCCTCTTACTTGACGAAAAGCCATTAATCCATACTCATTTAATCTTCTTCGAGCGGTATGTTCAGAAATTTGGACACCTCGAACTTCTTCGAGCTGATGAATCGCTTGAACAACGGTAAGGTGCCGGTTTCGTAAAATTCTCAAAGTCAAAAACCAGTCATCCCGTGGTTCTGTTACCCAAGATCGTCCAGTACCAGGCCTTCTATTGTAAGAATCAGTTTCCTGAAAACGCCTGACGGTGTCTCGTAAAGTTTCATATGGAACTCCGATGGCATTAGCTGCATATCTAATGGAACGTCCATCATCAATAAGTGCCACACCACGCGCAACATCCTCAGCACTAAGAGTCATTTTTAAACTTAATATTGAAAACATTAAAAGCCGGAGACTAAGAAATGTGCTGCAAGAAACGGCACTGAACTAATGATATTGAATAAACATTTTGATTCCATAGAAAGTAAACATTGGAATCTAGAATCATTTCATTGAATTAAGGATTAAGGGTTATTGTCCTCTATATTCACATTCCTAATTGAAAACAAACAAAAAGATTACCTATTTATTGATTAAAAACAATAGACCAATCCAAAGCAGAAATATTTTTAGATGAAAGCATGAAAAAATCAAGTGGGTGGAATTTTTTGTCTGTCAGTGTATTTACCCTTGTTCAATAATTTACATTTAATTATTTATTAGTAACAAATAAGAATATATTAATCTTAAATAATCAACGTATTATTGGTCATTTTATAGAAAATTCAAGTTTCAGTTATCAGTAATTATAAATTTTTATTTACAATTAATTGATTTATGATTAATGTGTATATATTAAAATGATAATAATTAAAGTATTATTTATTTTAAACAATTAAAGTATTCAACTTGTTTTGGTAAATTTTTAGGATTGATATAAGAAGGTATCTGTATTGTACAACAGGAAATGCTGGTTTTTTGGAAACTTGTGTTTTCAAGAGGTACTTTCTTCATTAGAGCTTTTTAAAAACGTCTAAGAAAATTTAAATTTCTAAAAGTACATTTTTGTTTTAAAACACAATAAATAATAGTAGTAAGTAACAAGGAGCCACAGCCAACTTATATATGAATATCTTATTACATTATTTTTAGATAGATTATATTAAAAATATATAATTAATTTATTGCCCAGGAAGTTATTTCAATGAAATACTCAAACTTCTGAAAATACTGCATATAAACTTCTTGTGTTTTAGTTGTATATTAATTAATAATGTATACATATTTTTCCTTACTATTATCAAAAGAGACAATTATTGAATTGAATGTTTTTCAGATTTCATTATGAAAATGAGAAAGAAAGTAATTAAAGTGAATAATTGATCAGAAACAAGTGTGCACAATGAAAAGATTTAGACAAAGAGAAAATAGAAAAGAAAAAATGTATAATAAATTTGAAAATATGCAGGGGATAATCAATGATCCAGAGCAGGTTAATGACTTCATAGAACATCCGAAAGAACAATATTTCATTGAAAGAAGAAAAACACTATTTTTTAATGACTCAGCTAGCCCTAACATGAATCAAATTAATTACTTTATGGTAAATAATGAATTGCCAACTGAAGATAGTTCTTTTCAATACAGCAATTCAATTAAAACATCAGGTGACTACTTTCAATCAGACCAAAGAGTCATCTTCAATCCGAAACAGGTAAATAGATTGGAGGCAATAGAAAAGCATGACATTGCTGAAAGAGGATACTCTCTTGAAAATACAAGAATCAGTACAGTATATTTTGACAACCCGGCTGACTCTCATGAAAATAAACTCAATTATTTTGTAATAAAAAATGATTTGCCAATGGAAGATAAATCTACCCAGTACAGTAATACTAATTTAAAAGGAGGAGAATATATAAATGAAAAAACTGAACTTATTTCCACACACCAAACCAGGCCCTGCAGTGCAAACAAAGAAAAGCATATATGCACATCAGCCTTGCCGACGTATTATGCTGAGATGATCCCAAAAGTTAATAGAAGCAGACCATCAAGTCCATTAGCATACCTTCATAGAAAAGAAAATAGCTCATACAACAGGTTAGATATAATACAAGATAACTGCAAACATTCTAGAAGTCGAAATTTGTCTTCAGAACATCAAATGAGACAAGAAACATTTTATGATGTGAATTATATGAAAAATAATAAAGTTGATCACAGTGACAGTAAAACTTACATCAATAATCGCATAGAAGCAAGGCCATGCAAAATAGGGCAGGTAAATTTTAGTAAATTAAAAAAAAATTCTCAAATAAGACTATTTTAACCCTTTATGTGACAAAACTAATTTTATTAGAATTTTAAAAAATAATTTAATCAAACAGGTTCAGGAACCTCCAATTGAGCATTAAAAAAAACAGTGGTGTCTGCTTAAGAATACACGATAGAAGGGAAAACATCAACAAAGCAAAGTTAATAATATGAAATATAAATTTTTTTTTGTTCTATATTCACAAAGTAATAATATTTACAATATATACAATTATTTGATTTATTTTTTCTAAGCTGTTCTTACAAGTATTTTACAACCTGTAAACCTCCCATAATTAAGAGGATAATGGTCTAACTTCCCGCAGGGACCAGCCATAGTGGGAAGTAGGGCCGGGATTCAATCCAATGATCTTTACTTTACTAGTATAGTGCGCTAACCATTATAATTATACAATTATAATTGAGTATAAACTATTTTTCATTCTATATTCACAAAGTAATAACGTTTACGATATATACAATTATAAATATGAATTAAGAATAATTTAAGTCGTATATGCAATATAAATTAATATACAATGGGGCATCAAATAGTATACAACAAGTATGCAGTAATGGTACATTTTTTAAAAATAGAACTTCTGTAATGGGAGTCAGTAGTTCGTTGAAACACTATCAAGTGCAACAGAAAATCAAATATAAACACTCAATTTCTTATTTTTATGGGTAATTAAAAAATTATCTATACTGACTTCTGCAAATTAATTTCAGAATTCTCCATGGTATTTAAATTTTGAGATATTTTAGACCAAAACAGTCATTATTTCTTTTTTTGATGCTATATTTTCCTTTTCCGACTCTCTAACTCAGAGTCACATCAAAATATAACTTTGAAATATAGCTCATTACAAAGAGGATGGAATCCTCAATCAAGATTTTCTTCACTCGCAGTATGCAGATTAAATACAATTGTTGTTGTACAATTGTTAATTGTTGTAAAAAAGGTATACAGTGGAAATAATAGATAAACACATAGTTATTTTAAAAAAATAATTCATAAAAATTGGTAAAATCTCTGATTAAAAATTTTAACAGAGATAAAATATTGATAAAAAAATTAGAATATGGGCATAATACTAGTTGCTTACTTAAATATGAACTTTTTGGAGATTGATGGGGGGCAAAAATAAAAATGAAATTGTAATAAATGGTAAACTGTTTGATCAATTTGTGACTTTAATATCTTTTAAGTTGGATAATCAAAACCTATGAATTTCTGTCCTACAGTATCCTTAAATGATATTCCACTTATCCTTGTTGAAGAAATCCGCTACCTAGGACTCAACTTGGACAAACGTCTTACTTGGAATTCACATACAAGACTGAAAAGACAAGATACTGCTAGACGTTTCTGTCTGCTTCAACACTTAATGGGCAAATATTCTAAACTTTAAAAAAAGGCTCATCTACATGGCTATAATAAGATCTATATAAACGTATGGATTTGAGCTTTGGGGCTCCTCCAAACCTTCAAATTCCTATCATATCCACTCCTTACAATCCAAAATCCTTTGTGAAATCCATAATGTTCCATATTTTGTCACAAATAAATTCATTCATAAAGACCTTAATGTTCCATATGTTGTTGATTGGGCCTAAGCCCAGATACCTATTCTTTCATGATAAACTCCAATCCCATCCAAACACACTTGTATCCAGCCATGCTTCTTCCACGGTTCTTGATAATCCTTCTGATCTTCTTACTTAGAACTATTTATGGAGTGCTACCATTGGGTATTATCTCCACAAGTCTGTTCATGTCATTATTACTGATTGTTTGGATTTACTGAATGTATCTCTTTAATACAGTTGTATATTTCAATAAATAAATAAAAAGTTAAATAATATATTAGATTTAAGAATAGGATTTCATTAGGTGCAGAGAAATTTAATAGAACAACAAGAATCTCAATAAACTCTATTGATCTCCATCCACAGTTATATTGGGACTACGGGCCTGAAGGGATGGTGGGACATAAACAACTCACTTAAACTTCCATCCCATAATGCACTCCAACTTTTGGATCAGAAAACAATTCTTTATTTTTCCTTATATATAATAGTCCAATATCAGAAACTAACACTTTCTGTGGGTTTTCTTAATACTGCTTCTCAAGTGAGTCTAACTGTCCCATCATCGTCCTATAAAGGGTAAATTTAAATAAAAGTAAATTCAAGGGCAGTGTTTATTCAACAGATGCTCAACAACCAGAATTTTTTTTATATGTTAATTTTTTGTATTCAGTTTTATAGATATGTTATAAAAATATTTTTTTTTTAGACCTACTCAACGAGTTCTCAGAACAGCAATACCCAAAAAGGGCTACCATTAAAAAAACAAAAACATAAAGCAATAGATGCTATGTTTCGTGGAATGAAATCAGAGCCTGAATCTATTGATAAGTCCCAATTTCATACCAATATAAACCATGCGATGAAGTATCAGAATTCAATTACTGTTTTTCACGATCAAGCTGTAACATGCAATAATAATTTTCCAAATGTCCATAAGGTAAAATATTAATTTAAAATCGTAAATACATATATATTAATGAATACTAATACAAGCAAGTTCAAGTAGAATAAAGTTCTTTTTATAACAAGGACAAACTAGATCTATCTGCACTTCCTCTGAAAAGAAATATAATTTTTCTTTTAGAAAATTTGATAACCCTTCTTCTAGAGACCTTCTATCTTCAGTCATACATCATACAGCTATTCCTTTTCCCCATTGGATAAGTAACATATGTTGTTTATGAGGGTTGTCTCCTAGGCAAAATAATCCATGACCCATGTAACTTAAGGGAAGCAAAGCAGATTTATGGATGTTGTCAAGATTCATTTCCCGGGGACGCTGAGAAAAGAAAATTAACTGACCCATGTGGGAATCAGACCCACATCATTCAGAACAGAGCACTCTGGAACCCACACACCAACATGCTTAACCATCCCATCCTCAAAATTGCCACTAACAGGCTTAGGTATTAAATAGCTTCTGGATTTGAAGAATTATGGTTTTTAGCAAAAATACCCTCTTCAATTCTATCACTTCTCTTTTGCACTTGGATATTTGGAACTGTAGCAATGGCATATGCTGTAGGATATTGTTCATTAAGGAATTAATCTTAGTTTTGATCGTTTCACAGACTTCAATTTTAATTCATTAATTTTTCACACTAGAGGTATGATTAAAGTTCATAATCATAGATTTGTCAATATTTTGGTTAGCCTGATTATTCAGGTAAGTAAGCCTTAGTTATAAAAATTTTATTGAAACATATAATCCATTTTTAAGAACAGTAGTAAAGGAAGAGTCCATGAATAGAACAGCCTCTGCTTAAAATAGAATTAATTTTTAGTGAACTTTAGAATGGTATATATAACTTTGGATAAATTTAAATTATAGATTTTTGTGATTTATTTCAGACCCATTCGCTTAGTGCTCAAAGTTACAACATTAAAAATAAACTAGAACTAAGGAATAAACGTTTGGATACGTTTTGTGAAACCAAATCAGAACCTAAACCTATCTATAATTCTCAAAAAAGAACAAATGAAAACCAAGCGATGAAACATCCGAACTCATTCCCTACATTACAAAAACAAACTTCAACCTGCAATAATAGTTTTCCAAATGCCCTCAAGGTAAAATTTAAATTTACATTTTATAAAACCAAATAATTTAGTAGAAAAGAAGCTTAAATTAATTCATCCAGTTGAGAAGGAATTCTGTAGTCACAAGAAATTCACATTCATAAATTGTCTTTTCCAATAATATTTTAAAATAAGAAACAGTGAAATCCAGTGCCAGCCTTAGGGGGAGGAGAGAGGGGAGCAAGCGTATCAATAGCCCCGAGAAAGTCAAGCCTCATCCTTGCATGCAACCATTGATTTTGGAACATCCGATTTGTGGATATTATAATTGGCACAATTGTAAAGTAATCAACTTTACTCTGATTAAGTGCATTTAGACCTGCATCCAATATTAATATTTCAAGATAAATTCCTTTTATTTTTGAGGGAATGCATCAATATAGTTTTTAATTCCAGCTTGTGGTTTCTCTTACTTTCCTAGATAAATAAATTTGAGCATATTGGATAGTAGGTACATTCTTGGATAAATACAGTAAATACGAGATGATTCATTTCTTGTAAACTGATGCATTAACAAAGTATTATCTAAAAGCTACTATAACTCAGAGCTGGCATTACCTAAGTGTTTATGGTACTGATATTTTGTTTTCCACTTAGCTGAGCCTTAAGTACTTTTTTTCACCTCATTCTGAACATGTTAGAATATTTTGTTGCATGTTCTTTCTTGCAATTTTGAAAAAATCATAAGTTTGTAGCCTATCTTATTCTTTCGAAACAATTGTGGGCTAAGGCAATTCCCTCAAAATATACTTCTCAGAATATTAATTTGTTTGCTAGTAAAAGTCGCTCAATCAATAATAATCAATTAATAATAATCAATCCATTCCATAGAAAGGTTTCATTGTTTATATTATTTATTTTTTATTTGAAAAAATTATTTTCCTGGAATGGGATTAACTCAATCTTATGTTCTTATGAACTATGATTTTCACACTGGAACAGAATAGTTCCTTAGCTGGTCCCTTTGGGGACTATGGAATTATTCTAGATCCATGGCTTACAGATCAGGGTGGCTACCAAATTGTCAAAGTAAAATTCCCTGACTTTTCCCTGTTTAATGAAAGTTTTCCCTGACCAATATGTCAAGGGACACAAATATTAAAAATATATAGTTTATAACTAATTAGTTTATAATTATAACTATATATATATATATATATATATATATATATATATATATATATATATATATATATATATATATATAATTTATAACCATTTAATTTATTATACATGATTGAAAATTAATTGAAAGATTAATGTAAAAATAAGTCTGTTCAGTCTTTTTAAAAACAAATATAATGTTCAAGAGAAAGCCTTTTTTTAAACATGATTAGGATTTTTTTTTTCATTTTAGAAAACTGACATTAAGTGATTTATTTGTATCGCCTATTTACTAATACTTTAAGCACTTTATTTTCATAAAGTAAGAGTATGTAAAAGGTGATACTTAATGCTTTTATCTATTATGAAATAAACTGAGCTAGGGGCTATTCTTATTTTCATGTAAGGCAATTTAGTTTTTTTATTGCCACAAAAAGAACAATAATTATCCATAGGATACAAACTGTGAGGGAGATGGCCCAGTAGTTCAGTCAATGAATGATTACAGAAGGAAATGGCAGGGACACAATTTTTGACTTTGGTAGATTGACTAGTAAAGAAACAAACATCCTAAAATTCCCCACTCCTAGGTGGTAAGCCAAGTGGGGGGAGGAGACCCCTATAAGGTCACTTTCTTCGGGGTTTCGCTTATATCAGGAAAACTATCCATCACATCCAAAAAGACGTTCTATACAAAATTAAAGCTGATAAAATTTTCAATACGATTGATTCTATACATTTTTTCGCTACCTCGCTTAGTTAGCGAGAAATCTACCTTCAACTATGGCGAATTTTGAAGAAAAAAAAATTGCCTCCTATTTGTTACTGTTTTTAGCTTATATCAGGTAAACTATCATCTATCACATCGACAAAAATCTTCTATAAAAAATTGAAGTTAATAAAATTGGCATTATGATTAATTATATACCATTTTTCACTATCTTGCTTAGTTTCCGAATTATCTGTCCCTAATTATCACTAATTTGGGAAAAACAATTTTACCTCATGTTTTTTACTGTATTTGACTTGCTAACTCTTGGCTGCTTCGTTCTACGATTAGGGCCTGGAAACGATAACCTAAATCTATATAATTTTACTACTTTATCTTCAACGGTTCAAAAGTTAGATAAATTATGACTTAATATGTCCATTCCGAGAATTTCCAGAAAAATGTTATTTTTATAATATACGTTATTGTATGTATGTATACGTATATAAGAGATTTAGATGTATAGAGAGTTGGAGCAATATAATAACGAATAATATAAAAATAAATTTTTACTGCGAATTCTCGGAAGTGACATAAAAAGTTATAAATTGATCTAACTTTTAAACCGTTGAAGATAAACTAGTAAATTTATATATATATATATATATATATTCTTGATGAATATATAATTGTTAAAAACTTTCTTTCCCATGACTTTATCGTATAACGATGCAGTCAAGTGTTAGCTAGTCAAATACAGTAAAAAACATGAGGTAAAATGTTTTTTTCCACATTAGCAATAATTGAGGACGGATGTCTCGGAAACTAAGCAATATAGCGAAAAATGGTATATAATTAATCATATTGTATTTAATTTACAATAATTGTCTTTGTCAAGTCAATTGATGGTTTTCCTAGGCCCTCCTCCCTCCTCTTTCTCCCCCCACACCTGGCTCACCTCCTAACAGTGCTTAATATGCTTACCTCTTCACTAGTCCAAACAATTTCCATAAGTCGAAATTTGAGTCCCCACAACTTTTTTTTATAACCTCTTTTTCGGGCATTCATTGACTAGACTTCAAGGGGCTAAAACTGTGTAAATACACGTTTCCCGGCAACCTTATAAACTCAAGTGTACATGATAAAGTAATTATGAGTTGGCGTCCTGGTGCCGGGGGAGATTTTAAACGTCCCCGCCTTCAACCAAGTAAAAGCTTGGTATAGTCTCAATGTCGAAGGAGTGGACCCAAATAAAAAAACTGAGACGTTTCAGGTTTGTCCATGCTCTTATAATAGTCCGGGAGCCCGTGGCAAAAAATATGTCATATTTCATACTAATCTTTGTCCTTATAAATTGATCATATGAATAGGCCTGATGATAAAAAGTTTTTCTGTACAGTTTAGAAGTTTAATGATTAAATTATAATTGTTTTAGCCTTTGAATGGTTGAAGATAAGATCGTAAAATAATATATATTCTTAAAGAAAATTTAATATTAAACAACTTTCATACTCATGACTTTTTTTGCATGATGAAAAGATAAAGAGTTGGCGAGTCAAATAATAATAAAAATGCCATTCAAAATTTTTTTTTTTTCGAAATTAATGAAATACAAGGGCGAATATCACGGAAACTATAGAATAAAGTGAAGAAACTAATATAACCATTTCTACTGAAAATTTTGTCAGCTTTAATTTCAGATATCACACTATTATAGATATAACGCATATTTTTACTGATATAAACAAAAAACCGATAAAAGTCAACTTTTTTAATCGTAAATTCAATTTTTCGACTTGAAATCTATGAGTATGGGGTAACTGACTTTTATTTTAGGTCTTAAGACTGTAAATAATATAAATTGAAAGTGTTGGTACTACTGTACGGTAGTGAGAGCTGGGTCCTTCTAGATAGGCACAAAAGTAGACTTACCGCTGCCGAAATGAAATATCTGAGAAGAGTAGCTGGCCGAACTAGAAGAGATTGCATCCGAAACGAAGGGATTGGAGAAAATGTTAAGGTGCCACCAATGCTGGAAACCGTGGAAAAGAAAACGCTCAAATGGTTCGGCCACGTTATGAGGATGGACAAGAACAGGGAACCCAGAAAAATTTTTTGAGGCAAGACCCACAGAAAAGAGGCCAAGAGGATGTCCACGGAAAACTTGGATTGACGAAGTGACCAAGCTTGGACAGAAAAGAGGCGAACAGTTGGGTTATATGAGAGACCGTGTTGACTGGCGTAAATGGATGGAGGCCCCTTCATGCTGAAAGGCACTAAGGAGGAAGACAAAGAAGAAGAAGAAGAAATTGTTGGTAGCTTTATATATCTACAAGCTCTCTCTCTCTATATATATATATACTTGTGCAACCTATGTAAGGTCTCTTCTATCTTCACATTGCCGCCATTTTGTATTCTAGATATCTTCTCCAGGCCGAACAGGTGCTTGCCAGCCAATGAATGGCTACAACTGTTGTCACATGCTTTAAATAAAAATTTAATTTAAATAATATAAAGGTATCTATTGTTCCCCAATATTAAACACACAGTTAAAAATCAGAAGGCAACTCAACCGTTCCTGAACTATTTGTAAAATCGAAGCTTTCAACAATACTACTAATCGACAATTGGATATCTCTAAACTAAATTTCTGGTTGCTACAGAGTTCAAAACTGAATATAAAAAAAAAATCCCATAAACGATCCTCATTGACATCATACATAGCCTGCATTGGATGTATCACTTCCTGAGACTTTTGCCGTCTCGAGCGAGGTCATGATTTTTCAATTGTATTTTCAGTATTAATAATTAATGTGTGAAAGTAATAATTATTTGTAGTTTCAATTTATTTATCTCTCGATCAATTAATGGGAGAACGTAAAAAATTATTTATTAAAATAAGATTTTTACTAAGTTGGAATAGCGATGTGGTTTTATAGTTTATAACAATAATGAAGGACTTATAATAATCAAGGCAGCAGCTTACATTAAAATTTCTTCGAATTACAATATGGCCACGAGGGCGTCCCAGAGTCTCATATGAGGAGTTCATGGAAAGGATCGGAGGTAGAAGAGGCAAATCCTTCAACCAAATGAAGCGGTTAAGCAGAGACCGGGAAGGGTGGCTGCGTTGGATAGAGGCTCCTCGACGCTAGAAGAATTACAATATCGTATATAACGGTTATAAAACGATGTTTCGGCATTAACGACGAAACCGCCATCTTCGATTATTAAGTTGGCTTTTAAAACGTGATTTTGAATGGATATAGCGATTGGATTTACTGTCTCGATTTCTTAGAGTTTTTAGAAAAAATGATCGTATATAGCGACAGTTGAAATCCTAAAAACCCTCCTGTTTATATCTGACTTATCGAGGAAATATTTTATTTCATTCGTTCTCTAGATAAGAATCACATTTATAGGGCCGATTTCATTCTCACTCTTAGTGTTAAATTCATATTTCTGTTTAGTAGTTTAATAAGAATAACGAAGAGCAAAAAGTTCTAGATATTAGAAAAATTCTATATATGTTGTCGACTATAGACTGAAGAGTCTAATAATATCTTGGCTCAAGAATTCAACATAAATCTTACATTTTTAAAAATTGCGAATCTAATCGAGGACATGCTGAATCAGTTATATCCAAAAAACAACGACTATTTATCTACTCACGACAAAATCGCTCAATATTCCGCTATTAGACAAGGAGCTACCGACAATTTTATTTAACGGAAACACTAGCGGATCCAGGATTTAATTTTGGGGGGGGCTTCAGCCCGAAAGCTTTTTTTTCATAAAAATAACGATAATTACTTTGGAAAAACAGAAAGAAACTAACTACCTATATGAAATGGCACTAGCGGATCCAGGATTTGATTTTGGGGGGGGGCTTCAGCCCGAAAGCTTTTTTTTTTCATAAAAATGACGATAATTACTTTGGAAAAAAAGAAAGAAACTAACTATCTATATGAAATGGTGTTTAAGTGATTCCTTAAGTCCTTTTATATGTAATTACACGAACAATAAGACTTTAAGAAATAATTTTTTTCCATAAAACATGGTTATATTTTGCCATTTTGGGGGGGAGGCCCGAAAGCCCCCTCCCCCCAGTAGATCCGCCCGTGTGAAATGGTGTTTAAGTTATTCCTTAAGTACTTTTAAATGTAATTACACGAACAATAATACTTTAAGAGGTATTTTAAAAAAAAAATTTTCCATAAAACATGGTTATATTTTTCCATTTTGGGAGGGAGCTTCAGCCCGAAAGCCCTTCCCCCATAGATCCGCCCGTGAACGGAAGGACTTATAGATGTAACCATTTTAAATTGTAGATAAACCTCATCTGAACACACAACTTCATTCAGTCAGTTGAACACTTGCTTTCTATACGAAAATTTAAATTAACGAGGTGAAATTTGACGGTTCATTTAACGGAAAAACTGAGCGCTGAAATTTTGATATAACGTAAAGAATATGTTCCTAAAAGAATACACCTTGACCGACGACGTCAAAGTCATCATATTAGGGCAGTCGGATGGCATTTGGTTAAAATTAATTAAAATATAATATAATATATAAAATATAATTAAAATAATTGGCAAAAATTAAAATAGTCGGTTTCTCTTCGGTTTTTATGTTTTTTTGGGATACTGATCTGAATTTGACGTTTCTGAACGAAATGTTCCATTGTGTATCCAGATATACGCAAAAAATCAAAATTTCCGAACTTTTTTTAGTTTTTTGGACATGACTCTGAAACTGTGCATTTTATCGAAATTATTATTATATGCAACGATAAAGAAGATACAATTTACTATCAATTTTATGCATAGCTTTTTTATGTAGGGCTAACGAGTGAACAGTAAGAGAATATTGACTGCATTTTTCACAAGAAAAATCTATTTTTGTGGGTTTTCCCCCAAAACCCATAATCTATGCATGTATCGAAGAATTTCAATATAATCAATTTGAAAGAGCAATAAGTTTCGTATGTACCTCATACAGACACGTTAATATGTAAGAAGATAAAACGGCTGTTAAAGCTCAGAGAATCTAAGTCGTATTTCCCTTATAATATCTGCCGCTCACAAACTATCTGCATCATCACAAACTGGGAGATCTCTGCACTTCTCTCCCAACCGCGTCACTGGGGCTAAACCCAGTGGAGATTGAGCGAGAGTGCGTCACAAAATTAAGGACCAAAATACGTTTTAAAGTCCGAGGGTTCCAACGACATTTTGCTTATTCACATATTACGTCTCAACCGAAGCATGAATCATGTGAAGCTGCCAACGCTCTCCTTTTGTTAACCAACGAATAGATGTATACTTACAGATAATAAATAGTATTGTTATATTTTTCTTTTTTAAAAAGCACGGTTTTAACTCCATTTTGCTTATACATTTTGTTCATTAACCTTGTTTAATTCCAATACAACGGCTAGGGCCAGTGACAAGTGGATAGATCTAGGTTAGATAACGATTTAAATATGAAGATGGTCCGTCGGTCGTCTATAATAATTATAATGATGTAGAGATGGTTGACCGTTGATATAATATGAGAAGGAGTTAGTCGAGGGTGCGGTCAAATAAATAAAAAAATTTAAATAATTTATATATTTTACTTTTTTTATTTATTTGACCACACTCTCGACTAACTCTTTCTCATATAATAATTATACATTATAACAACGAAATTTACCGGGTCTCTTAAAGTCGTTATATTAATCCACTGTATATTAATTCCAATTTAAAAAGAATAATTAAAAAATAATAAGAAGAATTAAAAAAATTCCCTGACTTCAACAATTTTTCCCTGACATCTCCCTGACTTTAACAATTTTTCCCTGACATCTCCCTGACTTTTCCGAGTTTTGAAAATTCACTGACTTTTCCAGGTTTTCCAGGTCAGTCACCACCCTGTGGATGTTATGAATTCTTCACCTGGTCCATGTATGTTCCCTCCAGTGGATTCACATATCCTTAGAGGGGCAGAGGGGCATTGTTGATTAAATACTTGGAATACTGGGACCAACTAACAACATTAGGAAGAAATAATTAATATATGTCTAAATATAATATAATACATATTCTTGAATTTAGACAATAATACTAATTTGAAAACTAGACATCCCAAGATTTTTTTTTAGATTGAACTAAATTTTCTAGAACATGTCAAATTTTATTATTATTATTAATTACGTTTAACTTTCAGGAAAAACTATGTCATCAGAATTGCAGCTTCCAACAATAAACCAACGTTTATTTAAAAAAAAAAAAATTTTTTTTGAACTTACAACAGTATCTGATAACCCTATGATCCAAACAATAGGAAACAATGACAAATATAACTGAAATGGTACACACACAAACCGACAAAACACATAATCCTAACATGACAAAACTAATTTCATAACTTTACAATTATTGACAAATAAGCAGCAACATACTTCCAACACTAATAAATGAATAATAATTAGTATGATATATGGTGTGTGTTTAGTTTTCTCTTGTTTATACATTGTATGCTTAAATACTTCACTGATATATTTTTTTAAGTTTTTTATCTTATTTTATAACTAATGTAAGTTTTTATCAGATTTCTTCTGACAAGATACAAGATATATTTCAGCATAAAAAATAGCAATAACACCACTTTATTATAACATGTGTAAGGTAATGTAATCATAAAAATGTAGCCGTTATTATGACTTAATGTGTTGTATATATATGTAAATAAAATAATTTTTTATTTTTATTTTTTTAATCTTTCAGGAATATCCAGTTCAAAATAAAAAAAATGAAAAGACAAGCAAAGCATATTATGAAGCACTGAATTATACACAATACTTAATTCAAAAATTGTCTGATAAAAATTCACAGAAAAACATTGATAAAGAGGAACAAATAAATTCCCGAATGAATTTGATTTATAGCGGATGCAGGAGTGAGGAAAAATTTACGCAGACATTTAAAGCTGTCCCTGAAAAGGTGCTTATTTTTTTAAAAATTACATAATTATTATTAGAGACAGATTTTCGTGCAGTAAAAATCCAATATATGTAAAATTGTATATTTTACACCTAAAAATGTGCGAAAATCATATATTTTGTTTAATTTACAATATAAATACACCGAAATCCTATCAAACCTTATGTTAAGCTTCTTATTTAAAATTTTGAGCCAAAAAAAAAAATAAATAAAATGCAACATTGAAGAAAATTAAAATCTATATTACAATCAACTAATGACAACAATACATAATATAATACAACAATAAATTACAATTAACCTAAATATAGAAGAGAAATTTAAAAAATTGGACTTACATAAATAATAGAAAATTTAAAGATAATTCACAAAACAAATACTAAAAGTTCTCAATAATTAACCGACACATGATTAAATAAATTTGTTTAAATTTCCCTTAAATTGGTTAATTGACTGAGACATACAAGGATTAAAGAACTGAAAAAGATTAAAGAATAAGGAGTAAGTATAAGTATATCTTATATAGACCAGGCCAATTGATTTCAGATATTTAATATTAATTAAAAGTAATAAATGTATATATCCGATTCACAAAAAGGGTCCGAGGACGGATTGTAATAACTATCGAGGAATTTCACTCCTTCCGGTATGTTATAAAATATTCACTTTAATCTTAACCAGTCGAATCACGGAATACGCCGAGGAAATTATCGGAGAATACCAATGCGGATTTAGACGGAATCGTTCGACTATTGATCAAATATTTTCTTTACGGCAAATATTAGAGAAAAAATTGGAGTATAACGGTATTGTTCACCAGCTGTATATAGATTTTAAAAAGGCTTACGATTCTATTGACCGCCAGAAACTGTATAATATTCTAATCGAGCAGGGGATTCCAAAAAAACTAGTAAATCTAGTCAGGATGTGCTTGACGGAGACACTCAATAAAGTTAGAATCGGTAATAATTTGTCCGAAAAATTTGAGGTTCGTTCGGGCTTAAAACAGGGGGATTCTCTTTCGCCTGTCCTGTTCAATTTGGCATTAGAACATGCCATTAGGGAGGTAATGCGAACCGAGAAAGGGTTGGATCTGGGCGGGACAACATCCGTGCTGGGCTATGCTGATGATCTGGTACTGTTAAGCGAAGACGTTGAAACTATAAAACTAAATACGACAACGTTAATGAAAGCCGGGAAAGAACTAGGACTCGAAATAAACGTGGATAAAACAAAATATATGGTTAGCTGCAAAAATGGCGATACTACTGGTGATATCGATATAGATGGTAATATGTTTGAACAGGTAGATAAATTTAGGTATCTAGGTTCTACGATAACTAGAAAAAACGAAATTGAAGAAGAGATTAAGGTTAGACTGAAGGCGGGGAATGCTTGTTATTTTTCTGTGACAAAACTACTTAGTTCGCGCCTCTTGTCCCGAAACTTAAAAATTAGAATCTATAAAACAATTATCTTGCCTACAGTTCTTTATGGATGCGAAACTTGGCCGCTTACATTAAGGGATGAGCAGCGTCTTAAGGTTTTTGAAAATAAAGTATTGCGTAGAATATTCGGACCAAAAAAGGATGAGTTAACCGGAGAGTTCAGACGGTTACACAACGCCGAATTGCGTGAGATGTATCCGGGTAATATAATTGAGGTAATTTCATCGCGGCGAATCAAATGGGCTTGTAAAGTTGTTGGGCTTAGTAACGAGAGAATTCCTAAAAGGTTAATATTTGCTGTGCCGAATGGTAAGCGTCCGAGGGGTAGACCGAAGCGAAGATGGGAAGATTGCATTAAAGCCGATCTGAAGGGACTGGGTTTGGACGGCGAACGGTGGAGGGAGGTGTGTAACAAGCGATTGGTGGTGTCGGCATCGAACCTTCGGGTTCGCTAAGCCTTATTATTATTATTATTATAATAAATGTATATAAATAATTATGAATTGTCTACATTGTAATGAAAATTTCCTTTTTTAATTGAGTTGAAATTTACAATGTTATACATTTCGAAATTTGTTTCTGAAAAATTGTCTCTCTTATCACTTAATACGTCTTTTTATTGAGAAAAAGAGCGTTCAACAACTTATGTAAGGGGACTCATTTTGTAACAAGCAACTACTCCTGATTCCTTGTCAACTAACATTTACACCGTTAATGCAGTCGTAATATTTTTTATAAGAGCGCAGCCTGTATTTTCTTCTATTTCAGAGTAAAATTTTAGAGACATAATTTTTAAAATTATCAGTAATAAAAATATTATGATTCACTTTGAAGCTAGAAGGGACACTGAAGGACTGAAGAAAGAGTGTCAATTCAGGTCAAAACAAGGAAGACAGTTTTTTCTATTGAATTGCTTCAAGCAAGTTCTATTCCAAGAATAGTCGGTCAGCAGTTGTGTTTACTTCGCACTTTTGTAACGTTAAATTCGAATCTTTGCCAGTCACAGAATCATTTAACTTTCTCATATTTTTCTTTCTTAATTATATATTTAATATCGACAAGTTAGTAAAATTAAAAAGTTAATATTTACACACAAATATATATTTATATTAATAAATCATTTAATCTAGCACAAAATGTGCAATTTAAGCCTAAAATGGCAAAATGTGCCATATAAAATTTAAATATATTATTCTACAGATCCTTAAACGCATAGAATTTGAGTCTGGTGTTTTTACACGCAAACGAATAAAATGTACAATAACATGGAAATCCAGTCTCTAATTATTATAATATGATTGATTAGCTGACTAGAAGTAAGGCATGGCCTTCTTAATCATGATGTCACATGCATGGAGGCAAGGCCGTTTTTATAGTGCTTAAATCTATATAAATATATCAGAACTAGTTGAATTTAATGAGAAAATCGATGCAATAAGTCTTAATGAAACAAAGTAAAAAAAAAAGAAATCAAATAATACTTGGGAGTTAGTTACATTGAATATAATCTTCAATACTTATAACATCCAAACCATATTATTAACAATTTCTATTAAATTAATTTAAATATTTTTTAGTTAATTTCATACAGCCATGAATATTGTTCTTATTTCAAGTTTCAGTAGTAAATTTATTTTTTTACCATTATTTATCTGTTTTTATATCACATTAACTATATTTATAGTTAAGCTACAAAATTAAAGCTATATTAAACTCATATTAGACCAGTTGTCACCTATGAAGCAACTCTTGTCGTTGCTATAATCCTTATAATTATATAATCCTTCATATTATTTTCGTTTCAAATACTTTAAGTTTACAGCAATCCTTTTCTGATAAATCTGATGTGTATCCTTCTGGAAACCTGGTGGCGTCACAAAAGGGTTGCTGTAAACTTAAAGTGTTTGAAAGGAAAATAATAAGGATTTACCATACTACAAGAGTTACTGGTGAGTGGAAAATTAATACCAACAATGAAGCTAAGGCTATATTAGAGAATCATAATATTATTAACTACATCAAGGCAAGTAGGCTGAGATGGGCAGAATATGTGGTCAAAATGGAGAATAAACGAGTGCAGAAGAAAATACTAGAAGTACACTTCTGTAGAAAGTGGAAAAGTGAAAGGCCGAGAAGCAGGTGGAAGGATGAAGTGGAGAGAGAGGCAAGGAAGCTAGGAGTTCGAAACTGGAAGAGAGAAGCACAGGGCAAACAAAAGTGGAGAAGTGTAACTCAGGAGGACAAGGTTCATGCTGGCCTGTAGTGCCGGGGAGTTAGTTTTATTTATAGTTAAAGTGTTTTAGTTTTAATATATTTACTGCATATGACATGAGGGTAGAAATATTTTTGTGTACACTTTGTCATTCTTAAAGGAATATGTACCAAAATAATGTTGCTTCTTTTATTCTATTCAATTCTGTAGTGAATCAAATTTTCATATATTGTAAATAAATTTTAAAAATATTTAAACCGATAATTTTAACATAAGTAAAAACTTCCAAATTTTATAACTATTTAGCAAATTAGTCATTTTCTTTTTTATTTAACAATGATGCGGCAACGTTCCTTTTTTTTAATTAGGAGTAAATCTTAGTAATATATTTGTGAAAATTTAAATTATTTTGTTGATAATATCGATTTTCTCTTTCAAATTTATCGCCCTTAATAGTTTAAGTAATGTTAATAAAGTAATTTTTTGGCAATCTAAGCTTTATTTATTGGCTCCATTAAATTGACTTATTTGAGGAAAGAGAGTAAATGATCATATTCACATCTTTGTTTTGTTTTACCAATAAAGTAGTAACATATCCCAAATAAAAACTTAATCTTTGTTTCTTAATGCCCTGAGATCATGATGGCAGTGTGTTAAAGGTAAATGTTTGGTTGTAGCTCTAGAACAACCCCTCTGTACGTCATAAATAGCAACCTAAAGGGTAATAGAAAAAAAGGTTCCTAAGGCCCACTTACATGAACAACTTTAAAAATAACCTAAACTTGCTTCTCTTATTGAAAGTTGAAGTATGTTAATGAACAATCTAATGAATATTTATTAGTAAAATTACTTCCAAACAAATATGCTTAAAAAAACTCCTTATTTTAAATAATTACTGAACACAAAACAGAATTTTACACAACGTTTTATTGAAAACATAATTGTTTTTCAATCATAGCTGTAATACAGATGCATGCATGCATAAATATCTTATATATATATATATATATATATATATATATATATATATATATATATATATATATAATATATATATATATATATATATATATATATATATATCAGTAAAAATATATTACCTATTGTATTTAATTCATTCCTTAATATTTTTTAGAAAACCAAGAACTTAATTTATAAGGAAAAACTAACACAGACAATCAAGTAAAAATAAGCCGGTTTTAATGAAATGGTTTTATTGTAGTTCAAATTGTAATGTTCCATGAAGTTTAAATGGGCAAAATGCATCTTCAGCTTTGAGAAGTGTAATTATAATCCAAAATTTCTGAAAAATAAATCATTGTCCTTTATCCTTGTCATGATATTATACCTTTCTAAAATTCCTTTCAATGTGTATCAAGAAATAAATGTTTTCAAAAATATTTTTTTTTTTTTTATCTAATAATTAATAAAACACTAAATTTTCAAAAGTCTTTTTTAGTAGTCTATAATAGTTACTTCAGAAGTTATATTCAATAGCCATAAGAATAAATAAAAATTAAGACAGTCCATCAAAAAGATCATATATATATTTTCACAGCTTTGTGACAGTGGATCAAGATATATTTAAATAGTCTTTCCGATTGGTTGCTCCATTGGTGGTGGTGATGACTTGAAGGGACTCAATTCAATTTCAAGAGTTCTCCATTTATAAAACTAGTTACCATGTTATTGCAAAATAAATATATTTACACAAATAACTTAAGGAAGAGTCTTTCAGTACACATGAGCTAGTTTGGGGGAGAAAAACCATCACAAATTATAGCACATAATTCAAATTGTAATGAAATTAAGTTCTTTCTTTTTCATATTGTATGTACAAATAAAAATAATTGATTGAAATAATGTAAAAAAGATGCCTATAAGACAAAGAAAGAAGTTTCAAGTTATGTAAAGAGTGGATGCTTTTTCCTAGTTCAAATGTAACTTTGCAGCTCATGTTCCACCAATAAAGTTCTTTCTTCAGTTGTTTGTCTATACTTTACCTCATAGATGGCCTTAAAAATACAGACTACATAAATAAATATAAATTTGGATATAAATAAACTCCACTAAATAGGTACCAAGAGTAGAACAGAAATTGTAAGCATTAAAACATATTAAAAATCACTTTATTTACAAACTTATAAATAGAAAAAAATATATTTAATTACACTTTGTCATTTATTTCAATTTTTTAGAATTAGCTTTCATTAGCTTTTCCTTTCTTTTCTTCACATGTTTTTTAACTTTAGTTTTCCTTTTTTCAGCTTTTTGATCCTTCATTTCTTTTTTCCTCGCCTGAAATAGAATTTTTTATAGAGGTTGCTAAAAGAAAAAGTTAATAAAATGAACTATAATCCTGTAAAGAAAATTTTTCTAGAAATAAAAAAACTAACTAAATAGTAGTGAACAAGCTAGATAGAATTTTAATAAAATTTAAGAATCAATACCATTTTATTCCATTTAAAAGGGAATTCAAATTTGGCATCTGCACAAACAGCCCAGCCACAATTAATATGCTGACAAGAAAAAAATAAAATAAAAAATCTGGTGTGTCCACTCACATTACTTTCCTACCTGTTTCAGAAAAGTTTTAATATTTTACACATGCCCATAAAAAAACAAAAGAAAAAATTATATTAGGTTTATTTTCCTGAAAATTGATCAAAGAAAAGATTAGGGTAAGATTAATTTGATAAACTAAAGCAATGTAAACCGGCTTAAGATATATCAGTATAAAAATTTCATTACCCTCTAATATTGCTGATCAAAAACATTTTATCATAGCCTAATTTTGTCAAACAATAATTTCTGTTAAAAGTAGAGGAAATGCAGGCAACAGATTTTCTTACTTTCACTTAAGATAACTATCTCTTTTCTCTCATTCACCCCTTCCTAACACCAGGATATGAACCTGTAATCTTACATGGGAAATCGAATAGCTGTAACTTCGTTAATAACTGTCCGAAATGAACGATTTTGATATAGTTTTGTTCAGTTTGAAATAGTTTTGTAGGGAATATCATCACCTTACAAAGAAACGGGCTAAACTCAAGGGGCTCTAAATATCAGAAATTTGACCCGATCGCAATTTACCTAGTACAGATAGGAAAGTAATAAATTAAAACATTTATAGAAAATAGGATAAGCTGTATCATCACTAATACTGGTTCGAGTCTGATGATTTTTATGATACCCTTATTTTTTTTTAAAGCGTCCTGAATTCCCTACAAAATAAAATGACATCGAAATGGATAAGCTTTATCTCCAAAATGAAACAATTTGTAGCGGACGTAGGAGTAAAGTGGGTTAAAATATTTTTTTTAAGGAGAAATAAAGTTGAGATTTATATTTCGTACCTCGGTAAACCTTCAAATAACGATTTTCACTGAAATCGAAAAATAAATTTTTTTTGTCTTAAATTTTCGTCAAGGGTGGAACCTTCAATTTTATTTCGGAAACCACAAAAAGTGTGATAACGTAATAATAGCTCCACCTACATACACGAAAATAAGCAGGGATTTAGGGCCTTGTAAAATGCACAAATTGCAACAAACTGTACCCCCGCAAGCATAACAGAACTGGAGAAACAAAACGAAAACGCATTAGGAGATTTTTTTTATTTATTCCTAATGAAGGCATTAAATCTAAAAGTTTTTGATATGGTTTTGAAGAGCAACAACTCAGCTTTTCAACTGTTATTGAATCATTGAATTAAAAGAAAATACTGAGGAGTTACGAATTATTTAGCGAACGGTAAGGAAAAACATTCCAAAAGACAGAGAATTGGTAACCATAGAAACCAGATTAACACCTGTCTCTCTGTCTCTCTCTGTCTGTCTCTCTGTCTAAATATATATATATATATATATATATATATATATATATATATATATATATATATATATATATATATATATATATATATATTTTTTATTATTTTTATATATTTTATACATCTATTCTATATATTTTTATATATATATAAAAATGAATATGTTTGTCTGTCCGTCTGTTAGTCCTTAGTGCATTACTAAACCATTCAACCTCGGCTTTGGGAAATTGTTCCGTACACCCCTGGGAAGGTTTCTGGCATAGTACTTCTGTCTTACGATAATTTTATATATGTAAACAAAATAAAAATGTAAATGTTTTTCTGTTCAAAGCCGCAAAAAATGTGTCGCTATAAACTGTAGTGCCAAAACAGCTTTACCGATTTTAACGAAACTTGGCTAAAGTCTTCCCCTTGAAGCCCTTTTAATTTATGTGTATAACATACTTTCCCGAAAACAAGCTGAAAAATGTTACGATGAATTCAATATTTTATTTGATGATAACTAAAAAAGTACACAATTTTTTACTAATAATACCCATATTTATATGAAAGATTTCTGAATTGCTGACAAAATAAAAAAAAAATCATCGAAATCGGACAGTTCGTAGCAGAGTTATTGAGTTTTAAACATTTACTGCTTTCTCTTTAGAAAAGGCCGTTTCCTTTTGCTTCCTCACTACCGAACGTCGGCAAGCATTTTTTTTTTTTTTTTTATTGATTAAAAGAAAATTTTATAATTACTACAGTAATTGAAATTATCATTTGAAGAAGTTATATGATTCTCCTTATGTAGGTCAATACTATTATACGTTTTTTAAATCAATTTTTTAATTTAGTTTTATAAGTTCAACTCAGACTGTTTCTGATGGTTATGAATGACGACGTATTTACTCAGATGATTATGAATGTTCAATTTGAATCATGAGAAAAAAATCAATTAGAATTAGTTTCAATTCAACCCATTTTACTGACAAATTTGTTTCCCAACTTTTTAAAAATGACAGATGTTCTTTGCTACTAATCTACTCATATGTGCTTTCTATTTTCTTTCTTTTTCATTTTGCCAGGCTAAGCCACAGCAGCGCGTGGCCGGGTAAAGCTAGTATGTATATATATATATATATAATTCTGGCATAGAACTTTCTGTGTTAAGATAATTTTATATATGTAAAAAAAATAAAAATGTAAATTTTTTTTGTTCAAAGGCGCTATTCTCCGAAAGTTCTTCAGAGATTGCTTTGAAATTTCGACACAGCGTTGCAATCGAATTCAGGAGCATTTTGAACATTTTATTACCATCCGGCCTTTCCTTTCGAAATGGTATAGGTAGGAAAACAAAAAGTAAAATTAGACTGATAGGAACTTAATCGAATATTTAAATGTGACCGCATAATGTTAATGGAATTTTTTTTTTTTAAAGTTAGAGTCATATAGTCATTTTTGGAACCACGTATTACCCAGTTTGTTATTTTTTTTTTGTAGAATTTGTTGATTAAAGCATGAACAGTATAACTTCAGCTACCTATTCACATTATCATGTTAAAATCAAACTTAATACCATATAGAAATTATAAATTTTCAGAAATGAAACTTGGTACTTCCATTCAGGTTAGCATAGGCTGGAACTTCTAGGTAGCCAATGGATGGCAAAAAGGACAAAAGGTACACTGGTTGGATTAGTTCACCCCATCAAAACCAGTAAGATCAAAACAGTATGACAATACAACCAGAAATTAAAATCATCTTTCGAATAACTCCTAGCAAGATAACAAATTTAAATATAAAGACTAAATACCTTCTTTGATTCAGGCGATTCATCCCTAGGTCTTGCTGAGTTGATGAATTTAGATTTAGATTCTCCATCCTCAGATTCTTCACCACTATCATTATTTTTTTCATCTTCACTTCCACTAACACTTCCATCATCGCTGCTTTCGTAATTTTTATCTTCTTGTTTCGTATTACCAATGACGTCAGGGAGACCAACAATTTTTGTGTAAGGTAGCTCTTTCACATCTAATAGTCCTGTTTTCACGAGGCTAATATCCCGTTCAAAATCAACCACCTAACATAAGGAAAACAAATTTTAATTAATGCATTAAATGACTCAATTATTGAAACCTATCAAGTGGAGTATTACTGTACTTAAAACTTGATCACATCATGTACTTAAAATGTTTCTAAGCTCTTGCATGTTTTATGAGAACATATTTACATAGAAAAGAAAAAATATCAACACTAAAAACAACATATGTACAATTTATTTTCACTTTGTCTTATTTATTTTGGAAGGCAAAATTGTTTTATGCTATTTAAAATAGCGAAGAACGGGTCCTCTTCTCTGTGAACCCGCCGCGTTTTTTTATATATGTCATAAAATAAAAGTATTTTTTTTGTTATTTCATTTTGATGTTTTATATGTACATATCTTCTTAAAGTGTTTTTTTATTATTTCATTAATATATATGTCATAAAATAAAAGTATTTTTTTTGTTATTACATTTGTTTTTGTATCTGTTTACACTTTCAATAATACGAATTTAATACAATAATACGGACCAAATCTTAGAGTAAATTAACAGTGAAAACTTTTCTTTTTGTTGCATTCTGTTGTTGAAACCAATTAGCTCCAAGAAATAGGAACTCCACACCTCGGTGTAGCGGTTTCACCGCAAACAATGTCTGAGACGTCGATATCTGGCAGTTCTACAGAAAATGTGGACGCTTTAAACTCAAACCAAACTACTGAAAATAATTGGGAACTCGTTACAGGAAGAAAACGCTCAATGGACAATAACAGAGACCCAAGAAAAGCTAAAAAGGTAAGCGAAGTTACAACAATAACCACAAATAGTTTTGAAGTTTTAACTAACATTAGTGACGAGTCTGATTCTACCACTAAGCAACCAGTTTCTGTAAAACCGCCCCCTATCCACTTGAATGCAGTACAGAACTACACCGAACTGGTCACATTTCTCCAAAATGTAGGAGGTTTGAACAGCTTTAACCTAAAATCCACATGAAGAGGAGTAACCGTATATCCTGAAAACTCTGACACATATAGACGTATAGTAGCTAACTTAAGACAGGTAGGTGCCGATTTCCATACCTATCAGTTAATAGAAGATAGAAATCCAAGAATCGTATTAAAAAACTTACACCATGCTACTCCAATTGAAACCATAAAATACGAATTAAAATGCCTAGGCTACGATGCCACAAGTATTGTGAACGTTATTTCCAGATATAAAAATCCACTTCCCATGTTCTTTATCGATATCTCTAAAGCCACATTTAATGAAAAAATTTTTGATATTAAATTTTTATACTATACTAGAGTGAAAATTGAAGAGCCAAGAAAGAAAAGAATGATTCCACAGTGCACCCGTTGTCAGCAGTATGGCCACACGAAGGCTTACTGCAATCACTCCCCGAAGTGCGTGAGATGTGGCCAAGGACATGATAGCACCGTCTGCACAAAGACAAGAGAGACCGCAGCAACATATGCGAATTGTAGCGGATCCCATCCAGCAAATTATAGAGGTTGTGCAACTCTAAAACAACTGAGGGAAGCACGCAATCTCCGTAAAAATATACAAAGTCCCCAAAAAGCACAAACTAGCGCACCCCCAGGTATAGATGAGTTTCCTTCTCTTCCGCAAAGTCAGCATACCGCAAATTTAGGTTCTTCAAAACCCGATTCCCAATATCTAGGACCAAAACTGCGAACTTCTCCTACAGATGTCCCAGAAAATCACCTTCACCAGCCAAAGCATCCAGAAATGAAAAAGGGCATTACTCAGCCGCCACCACCGCCTTACAATCACCCGGCTTCAGCTCAGCTCTTCAACTTGGTAAGTGGATTGAATAACCTCATCCAGCCTCTTTTCAGCCTTCTCCAAGAACTGTCTCACGTTGCACAAGCCTTATCCTCCAGTTATGGCTACTAATCGGCTGACAGTGTGCTCCATGTCCGTTCTTCTCTGGAACGCAAATGGTATAAACCAACACAGGACTGAACTTGACATGTACCTACATGAAAAACGGACTGACATTGCTCTCATCACTGAAACACACTTGACTCCACATTCTAAATTTTACATTCTAGGCTACAAATTATATAGAACTGACCACCATGATAAGACGGCACATGGCGGTACGGCAATACTGATTAAGCAATCACTAAAACACAACCCTTTACAATTACCCATTACACCTGACATACAATCCACAGCAATTACTCTGTATACACAGCACCATACCATACCATTACCTTCGCTGCAGTGTACTGCCCTCCGAGATACGTGCTAACATCTGCAATGTTTTACAATTTCTTCCAACATCTCGGTCGGTGTTTTATTGCAGGTGGTGATTATAATGCTAAACATCAGTCCTGGAGAGCACGACTCTGTACTCCTAGAGGAAGAAATCTAAAGTCTGCCATCGATCAGCTTTCATTAAACACAATCTCACCTGATACACCTACTTACTGGCCAACTTCAAGACAGAAAACACCAGATTTACTTGACTTTTTCATTACTAAAGGACTCAGGACAGTGCCGTATACTGTAACTGCAAGCTCTGATCTTTGTTCTGTTCATTCTCTTCTCAGTTTGGTACTATGCGATGAGCCTCGTACTGCATCAAAAAAATCAACACTTACAGATAGGATAATCGATTGGGAAGCTTACAGCGACTACTTAAATTCGACGCTATCAGTCCCTATGTCCCTTAAGACCGAAGAGGAACTCGAAAAAGCTGTTGATAAGTTCACAATCAGCTTACAACAGGCTGTATGGTCATCATCTGTACCAAGACCCAGCAGAAATACGTCTCTTCCAATCTATCCGCAGTACATTAGAGACCTGATCAGAGCAAAGAAAAGAGCGCGCAAAGTGTGGCAGACTGGTCGACTTCCATCTGACAAACGGACTTTCAATAGACTTCACAATGAACTTAAACGACAGATTCAGAATTTTAAAAGAACGATCTACGACAATTACCTCAAAAATCTTTCGACTGACAATGGAAGCTTATGGAGACAGACTAAGAAACTTGTAAAGCATTGTGAGGTGTCAGCACCACTCCGAAACGTAGATGGTTTCTGGGCTGTGTTAGACCTTGAAAAATCTGAGCTCTTTGCCAACCATCTTTTTTCTGTTTTCATACCACATACTGACTTCTCTAATACTGATCATGAAAGACATGTACAAAACACTTTAGACATTCCTTTACAACTGTCATTACCTCCACTTTGCTTCACTCCCACTCAAGTTGCAGAACAAATCAGACAGTTACCTAAAAAGAAAGCTCCCGGTCATGACCTGATAAATGCTCAAGTGCTCCAGAAAATGCCAAGGAAAGCTCTAGTATACCTAACATCAATTTATAACGCAATACTCAGAACGACTAAATTCCCCTTACAATGGAAATATTCATTCATAAAAATGATTGATGATTGACAAGACATCAAAATTCAACATACGCCTCACAGACTTTACAATATCACCTAAACAATTTCTACGACTGGTGCAAACTCTGGAAAATTCGACTCAACCAAGACAAATCACTACATATCACTTTTACCCTTCGACGTGAAACTTGCCCCCCTATTTACCTTGACAATATTCAAATTCCTCAGACAGACAAAGTTCAATATCTTGGACTGACATTTGACAGAAGAATGACATGGGGCCAACATATCAAAAACAAAACAAAAACTCTAAACCTAAGACTACGCCTATTGTACTCACTCCTTGCAAGAAATTCGAAATTAAAAGTTAGACAGAAATTGAATACATATACTTACCTACTCAAGCCTATTTGGACCTACGCTTTACAGATATATGGGACAGCCAAAAAGACTCACATACGTAAATTACAGACTTTTCAATCTAAAACTTTCAGGACTATCACCAAAGCTCCCTGGTACGTCAGTAACATTACTCTACATAAAGACTTACAGATGCCAACAGTTAACGACCACATACGAACATACTACAAACGATTTCATAATAACTTACACGGACATACAAACTCATTGATTCGAGGCATGGCCACAACTAACATGCCCGATAGCACCCGAAGGAGGCTTAAAAGAAGCTGGATGAGAGATCTCCTCCACTAACTATAAATATTACGCTCAAGACAGGAAGGACGCCGCTGGGTACTCCTCTCCTTCACGCCTATTCCAACACCAATATCTTCATCTTGACATCACACTCGCTGATTGTCGGAACTTCTGACAGGTGTGAGTTGAAGAATCAAGTCAAAAAAAAAAAAAAAAAAAAAAAATACAATAATACGAAGATATGAAGTAGGAGAAGGCTTATCAATGCATTATGGGAATTATCAGTGTTCAGGTTCTAAACATTGGCAGATAACAGTCAGTGGGTCAGTGGCTAGACAAAAAGTACCCACAAAACTAGTAAAAATGTCACACGTGTCATTTCTGAAATAAACCATTCAATTATAACAGTGGACCAGAATAATAAACAAACCTGAAACCAAATAAATAATTTTTTTGGTACAGCATGCATGGTAAACCTGCATAATATAATATGGGGATTCAATATTATATGATAATATCTCACAACTACATTTGAAAACATAAGCTAAATTGCAAACTAGTTATCTTAACATGTTTAAGAAATAAATAATTACAATGCTCACACAATTATAACATATACATTAAATCAATGCAGTCAGAAATTGTCTTTTTTTTTTGTTTTCTTTAAAAAAAAAAGTGATAATACCTCCGTAAGTCGCTGAGGAATGTATTGTCCTTTGAAAACTTCTTCTTCAACAGCAGCTTCCCCGTCCGCATGTGTTGGTTCCTTGCCAGCCAATCTGGTGCTTGCTTCATCTAAGAAACTTTCCACTTTGTCCTCATTCAGATTTGCATCAGTAATAAAATCAAAAAGCTCTTTTACTGTTAGTATTGCAACTCCTTTACGTTTAAAGAATTCTGTGAAACATAATAATAATTAGGTATTGTTCACAAATGATACAATAATTGTATCTTTTGTTCATAAGTTCTAAGGGAGATGTTTATTTATATATATAACTAAAATATATTGATACTTGTATTTATATATTTTCATTGTATTTTAGTCAGTGGTACAGGCCCCTTTTTATCGAATTATTAATATCTCCCTGAAACTTCGTAAACAGTTTCATTTCATCGTAACCTGCAACTATTTTATTTACGAATACTCTTGGAATTGTGGTAGTTTCAATCTGGAGGAGGGCAAACTTTGTCTATTTAATTAAGTTCTAAAAACTCATAAATACACATTTGCTTTCTACTTGGTTAGTAAGATAATTTGATCACAAAGTCGAGAAAAAAGGTGGCCTTCAAAAATATTGAGCCGTTTGATGGAATCTTATCCCCAAATTTTCAAAATAACGAGGTTATATAGGACAATCAGCCCAATATTTTTGTAGGCTACATATTTTATCGATTTTTTGCCTGAAAATAATTTATATGTATATAGAGCGGTTAGTAAAAGTTGTATGTTGTGCGCACCAGACTTTTTTATTCAGAATAAATAATCTGCTTAAACCGGACTAGAACTCGTTTCCCCGACATAGCAGCATAGTGTCTGAATTTAAAAAAAAAGTTTATTTGGTGTTTAAAGAGCGTTCGTTCAATACTTTCTGAAAACAAGTATACTTCCATGCTTATATTTCGTTTTGGTGAACTTGTTTCTTACCTTAAAAAAAAACATTTTCCTTTTTCTAACATCAAGAAAATAATGGAGAAATATGTATGTGTATAAATATGACCAAGTTCCTAAACTCAGCGCTGACCTCATTGGTGGCATCTTTTTGCCCAGTTAAGAATGATGAGTTCAGCACTAAATTACGGAACTTGTCCCTTGTACTCGTATTTTTAAAATTATTATACTTTTACCATTTTACAAGTATTAATATTCTTGTATCATTTTATTCATAGATATAACATCAATGGTTGCACTAAATTGAGTTAATTTTATATTCTGGACTAATTTTATTTTTTAAAATATTAAAACATACGATTTATATACCTTTTTATGATTTTTTAAGGAGCGTGGGCACAAGGATTTACGATATTTTAAAAAAATTATGGTACTAGTATTTATTATTGAGGGTGGTAAGACTGGTATACTGCATCATCAACTCATTTTAGTGTCAGCTGCATACTGGTGCATTTCGTAACAAACATAGTAATTCAGATATAACTGAAGTCTATTACTGTTAATAAGAACTTAAGAATTTAAAAATCGTTGAGAAAATAACGAGAAAGCTTCTCAGTTATTACAAAATAAGGTAATGACAAATTGAATAAATGTTTATTTTTAAATTAACCATACCTCAGTGAATTAAATTATAGAACTAATAGAATGTAAATGAATATTTAACATTTCTTCTATGATCTATTAGGAAAGAATAAATACAAATTGAAATATTCTCTAAGAAATCATTGTTAAACTTTGGACGCTACGTACGTGTCTGTGCAAGTTCAGAAATTGTACTTCGCCCGCACATCATGGTCAGCTATGAACAAATGCATTTAGTTATAATGAAATTTATTTATTATTCGTTATTATTTATTTAATTTTGTATTCATTTTTAAAGATGTTAATTGCAACTCCTAATGAATTACTACGTTAGAACTATCTGAGAAAGAAACGCAAATGTTTCCATATTCACTAAAAATTCCAAATAAATTATTATTTATTATTAACAGTTAACCAATTCTTTTATATACATATATATCTGTAAAACTTCAAGCATGTAAATGTTTAACAATTGTCTATGACGCGGAAGAAAACAATTAAAATTCTTTATTTTTCTATATTGTACTACTTAAAACATATAAGTCCCCATATAAGTTCATTAACTTCCGTTAGTATTTGCAGAAGTTTCAGGTCTGCATCTACAAACATCTTTCCATTTATTTAATTTTTCCTATGTATTTGAAGTATAACTGCATCTACAAATAAATCATCATTTTTAAACTATTTGAGAATAGAATTGAAATGTTATCAGATGTTTAAAAATAAGATACATTTTAAAATAAGTGTTACTGCCTATTAAATTATTTATATATATACACACAAACACACACACACACATATATATATATATATATATATATATGAAGAATGTGATGAATACTTTTGATTGAAATCTATTTGCAAAATATCTAACAAAAACTTCATCATTTTTTTAATATAACTACTATAACGGGGTCAGTAATTTGTCAAACTATTGAATGCAACAGAAAATCGAATAGGAACACACAATTTATTATTTATTATTTTTATGGCTAGTAAAAAAAATATCTATATTGACTTTGACTGATAAGTTTGTAGTAGAACCTATGAGTGAGGCGGAATTAGCCGCTGCTATTAACGCGGCCCTATCAACCCAACCCGAGGCTGGTTTTATGGACTGTAATGATAATTCTCATAGCATAAACAACGAAAGTGGTAACGGGTAGAAAGAGAAACATCGTTGAAGACAGGGACCCAAGAAAACAGAAAAGGTCAGAGTCTGAGGTAACTATTAGTAATAGCTAAGAAGTCTTTACTGATAATAACGAACAATTCCAAACCCCACCTACTAATTGAGGGCGGAGTGGCCGAATGAGCTAACGCGTGTGCACATCACCGCCATTGCCCGGCAACCTGATATATCAATCAAATGATATAAAAATAGTCACGAGTTCGCGTCCCGGTGTCGAGGAAGTCTTTTTAAATCCCCGCCCACAAAAAAAAAAAAAAAAAAAAAAAAATTATATCACCTCAAACCCACCTCCAATCTTCATCACAGGCATAGAAAACTACACTGCGTTAATCTCCAAGCAAACACAGGCCCAAATTCATTTCCACTAAAATCAACATCCAAGGGAGTGACTGTGTACCCTGAGACCCTAAACAACTACCGAAAACTAGTTAGTTAGTTGTCTAAGAAACAGCAGTGCGGAATTTCATACCTATCAACTCGCTAAAGATAGGAATCCTAGAGTTGTAGTTAAAGACTTACATCACAACACCCCAATGGAAGAGATAAAAAGAGACTTGGAAAATTACGGATACCAGGTCTTTGGTATTACTAATGCAATATCGAGATTCAAGCGGCCATTGCCAATGTGTTTTGTTGACATAAAAAAGTACGAAACAGTACCGCAAAATATTCAACCTTCAGCAGCCATGAGGGGAGAAAGTAACCAGCCCACTTCAGGCGATGTATACATCACACCACAACTATTTCAACTATTAAATGGTCTAAGCACTCTCATCCAGCCCCTCTTAGCCTTCTCCAACAGCTCACGCAGGTATCTCAAAGCATATGTCTTCCAAATGGCCAGTTGACTGTGGGCTCCTTGTCCATCCTTCTGTGGAATGCGAACTGACTAATGCAACATAGAACAGAATTGGACTTATATTTACACGAAAACGGACAGATATTGCATTAATAACAGAAATAGACTTTACACCACGAACTAAATTTCATATTCCTGGTTACATTACGCACAGAACAGAACATCCAGACAATACAGCTCATGGTGGTACGGCTATACTAATAAAGACACATAACCTCTAGTACTTACCCACCACACCTGACATACAAACCACAGGCTTAACAATACATACCAAACACAACACAATCAGTATAGCGTCAGTATATGGTACGTATTGACATCTTTGATGTTTTGCAATTATTTTCAAAGCCTTGGGTGTTGCTTCATAGTGGGCGGTGACTTTAACGCAAAGCACCAACTCTGGAGCTCCCGGCTATGCACACCAAGAGGACGAAATCTGAGAGCTGCTATCCATGGACTTTCATTGGACACTATATCACCTGATACACATATTGGCCAGATTCCCGACGGAAAACTCCAGACCTACTAGACTTTTTTATAACCAAAGGACTACGAACCATACCTCACACCATAAATACAAGCTCTGATCATTCCCTTATACACTTGGTTATTCTAGATGAGCCCGTCAACCTTCCATGAAATCCTAAGCTCATCAGTGGTAGAATGGATTGGGATGCTTATAGAGAATTAATGGATTCAGAACTTTCGATCTCTGGCTCATTTAAGACAGAAGAAGAACTAGACGAGGCAGTGGACAAATTTATTAGAAGTGTCCAAAAAGCTGCTTGGGCATCATCTCTTCCTATGTCATCAAGGCCAGAGCACTTGCCTTGATATTGTCAGTATATAAGGGACTTGATCACGGCAAAGAGAAGAGCCCGTAAGGTATGGCAGACCAACAGACTTCCTTCAGATAAACGAACATTTAACAGACTGAATAATGAACTTAAACGACTAATACAAAAAATCAATGCGACAAACTATGATGCTTACATGAACAGTCTATTGACTGACGATGGAAGTTTGTGGAAGCATACCAAGAATTTGTTAAAACATCGAGAGGTATCAGTATCCCTGCGAAAAGAGAATGGTTCATGGGCTTTGTTGAGTTAGGAAAAATCTGAACTATTTGCTGATCATCTATCATCTGTATTTACACCATTTACTGACTTCACGAACATAGAACATGAAAACTTAGTAGTGAATACCCTACATATACCACTACCATTAACACCACCCCCTCTTTCCTTGACTCCTCCCCAAGTTGCACAACAAATCAAACAATTACCTAAAAGAAAAGCCCCAGGTTATGACTTAATAACTGCCGAGGCGCTCCAGTAAATGCTCAGGAAAGCACTAGTTGTATCTCGGGCTATTATTCGACAGAAGGATGACTTGGGGCCCACACCTCAAAGTGAAACGAAATACTTTGAACAAACGACTGAAAATACTATATTCCCTTTTTTCCAAATCAAAATTAAATATCAGACAAAAACTAAATACCTACTCAAACCCATATGGACATATACCTCACAAATTTAAGGTTCTGCAAAAAAGACGCACTTATAAAAACTACAATCATTTCAATCCAAAATTTTAAGACTAATAACAGCTGCTCCCTGGTACCTAAACAACAAAACTTTACATACTGACCTACAACCAACTATCGATCAACACATACGTACTCTCAACAGACTTATCGACGACATGGCCATAGCTGACATGCCCATCAGGAGACGATTAAAGAGGAGCTGGATGAGAGATCTCCTTTCCTAAATTATGAAGTAGACCAAGACCAGGAAGATGTACTGCTGGGTACTAATCTTCCTCATGCCTTAAATGGCAATTTTCTTCACTATGAGATCACATCTGCTTATTGTCAATTCTATGACAGGTATGGATAGAAGTATGAAGAGAGAAAAAAAATATATATATTGACTTTCACAGACGAAAATAAATAGGAATTATCTAAGGAATCAAATTACAATACATAGTTTCTATACGAATTAGAAAGAGAATTGCAAGAGTAGAGCGAATCCATACGGACTATCAGGATGCAGAAATTTTTGGAATACGAATTGTCGGGATTCTAATATATAAATAATATAATATCGGATAACATAGAAGAGATGGGCCACAATTTTAAAGTTCCCTAAATAGACAATTTAGACTGCACTGCGTTACGCACCCATCATCTTGGTTTTCTATTTTGTGTTCCGATGTTAGTTAATGCGTTTTTCATTAACTTTGTTATAGAAAGAAATTTTATTTTGTGCTATATTATTATTATTACATGTATTGATATTTGATTTTTGTGAGTAAAACATAAACATACTAATGTGAGAAAATTACACCAAAAATTAAAATAGCTTTGCAATAATTATAAACAATTTTTTTTTTCGTTAAATGTCTACGTGTAAGGAATGGACATAGATTGTATCTTGGTATATATTGGTCACATACAGTTGTCTATAGATCTGATATTATATTTAAATAATTAGGTATCAATATCCGTTTATGCTCAAAAATCTTTATGTAACCTTTTAGAAAATTAAATCAGGAATAATTCAATGAATTTTCCCTTAGAGAAATCCTAACATTATCTACTTAAAATTAATGTGAAAACTTTTGACCTACCTAATGCAGGCAATGAAAATCTCGTAATTCCATTTTAAAACTTTACAATGCAAATAATATTTAATAACTAATAGACATACAATCCATTATCATTTATAGGCTGAATATACAGATACACTTTCAAATTTCTCTAGGCATGCACGTAGATATATAGCTGCAGTTATGTGGTTTACGAAAACAAATGGAGTACCGAGGTTTTCATTGCCTACCGTTGATATAATTAATAGGTTTTTTATTATTATAATGGTCTTAATGATTTGTTAGCTATAGCTTCATTAAAAAATGCACCTCATAGATTTTATAATAGCCCATCTTTGCCAGAAAATAATTTCTATTCAAAGTAAAGTGGTAAGTGAAAGTTTTGTGTTGCCCGCACCAATTTTTCAGAATGGGGAAACATAACTAAATCCCAAATGAAAAATTGGAAGAGTTGAATGCAAAAATATATTGATTCGACCAATTCTTTACAAATAATAATAATAAAAGGTTTAGTGAATCCAAAGGTTCAATACAGACACCACTAAACAGCGGTGTTTCAATCTTTACCAATATTAACTAAAATTTTCTAGGCCAAAACAGGTGTTGCTCAGCAACCTGATAAACCGAAGATTATGAGTTCAAATCCCAGGTGTTAGGGAGGACTTTTAACTCCCTAAACTAATCCTCTGGCCTCTCCCCTTACCCAGACAAACCCCTGTATAGCCATAAAAGCAAGAAAGGAAAGAGAAAAAAAATTAGGCTTTTTAAAATATTCTGGCATATAGAAATTTTAAGAAGCTTTTAAATCAGTAAAATCAAAAACCAAGTAAGAGGGACTAAAAAAAACAAAAAAAAAAAAAAACGGGAATTTTGTCATAACTTCCTTATTTCTAAATATTTTTACACCAAATTTTGATCGTCTTCAAAGTATTCTCCCTAGGCAACAACGCACACCTCTAAACAATCCTTCCATTGTTAGAACATTTTTTAAATTCACTTATCAGAATATTCTTTAGGCCTTCTAGCGATTTTTGTTTTACCTCTTCCACAGTGGTAAAACACTTTCCTCTCGTGTCTCTTTAGAGTCTGGAGAACAGAAGTATGAGTAAGAGAAGGGCGAACAATCGGCGTCATGACGTTTTCGGTCAAAAACTGCTTTACAGAGAGGGCGGTGTGGGCCGGTGCATTGTCATGATGGAGGAACCAGTTGCCTGTGCTCCAAAGATCTGCCCTTTTCTTGCGGATTCCCTTCTTCAATCTTTTCAAAATCTTCAAGTATAGTATTCAAAATATTCAACTTCTGGTTGACAGTATGACCCGGGGAAGCGAACTCTGTGTGCATACAACCTCTGCAATCGAAGAAACAAATGAGCATTGTCTGGATGACTAACTTCACTTGGCGAGCTTTTTTGTGACAAGGAGAGCCAGCTATCATCCACTAAACTTGATTGCTGCTTTGTTTCGGTATCGTATTCATAGCACCACTATTCATCACCAGTAACCACCTTAGAAAAAAATTCAGGGTCCTCTTTGAGCTGATTTTGAAGTTCAAATCATGCCTGAAGTTGATGCACCCTTTGCTCACCTGTGATAAGGTGAGGAACAAATTTGGCTGCAACTCTTCCCATATGGAAATCTTCAAATAAAATCCTCTGGATTGAACTCCATGATGTTCCAGACATCTCACAGAGCTGATCAATGGTTCGGCGACGGTCATGACAAACGAGATCATTGATTTGTTGTCCACGTTTTCGTCACTACCTAATATTGAGGGAAGTTCTGCACGGTGTTGGTCTTCAATTGACATTTTTCAATTTTTAATACATGGAAACCACTTGTAGACTCTGGTTTTACTTAGTGCAGCATCACCATGAGCAGTTGTAAGCATTACAGTAGTTTCAACGGCTGATTTCCCCAACAGGAAACAAAATTTCACAGCCGCATGTTACTCTTGACAATCGGCAATCACCTTTTTTTTTTAAATGGAAAAAGTTGTTTCTCTAAAAGAATTCTCACGGGCAAACCAATACACTCACAGCGACACAACTTCGCACACTAACTAAGGAGACGTGTCCCTAATGGACACTGGGTCAAACAATGGATTTACCCCACCGCAGCCTGATTCCAGTGAGTTTTGGGCCCCCTTCATCCTAAGAACGAATGCTGAACTAACAAAACTCAACAAAAGCTCAGATATCATAAGGGTAATTAAAGTAGAGCGGCTTCGATCGGCAGGTCATTTAACTAGAATTACTCAGGAACATATTCCTAGGATGGTCCTAGATGAAATAATTTATGGGATAACAAGAGTGGGAAGACCTTGGCCCTGATGGATCGATGGAGTGGCAGCAGATGCCAGGTCCATCTTGGGAATCCACAATTGTAGAGCAGCGGCAACAAATAGCGAAGACTGGCAGACCAAGCTGCAGGAGGCTTTGACTCTACAAGAGTTGTAGCGCCATGGATGATGATGACTTTGATATAACTTAAAGCACATTTCTCATAATTTTTCACTTAAAGCATATTTCTAGCCTGCTAAAATCATTTACAGGACAAATCAACACTCAATAAGGACACCTTTTCAAATAAGGTATGGATATCAATATTACCTATTACTGATTGGAGAGACCTGGAATACTTTAAAAGAAACTCAATTATTTTTTTCTATTGATGTAAGCCTAAAATATCAATTTTAGTCAAAATTTAAAAGTTAACGTTTTAACAAGTGGGGTGACCAAGCAGGCTAAAACATGCATTGCCAGGCAACCTGATAAATCGAAGATTAAAAGTTCAAATAACGGTGTCAGGGAGAACTTTAACTCTGGCAATAATACACTGGCCTCTCCCCGGACCCGAGAAAACCCCTGCAGAGTCGAAAAAGCCAGGAAGAGAAAAAAAAACATTTTAAGTTTTTCAAAATTTCAAGAGTTTTTTATTTAAATCAGTAGAATTTGAATAAAAACTAGAAGAATATTCAGAAAAACCTGTGACACTGGTGACTGAGAGGTCTGATATAAATCTGCTTTTGTGCTTTCAAATAATTAATGAATGTAAAATAATCTAGCATTTTTTTATTTTCTCTTTAGTGAAACAAAGTTTAATGAATGAATAAATAAATTTCCTCTTGAGTACCAGAAAGGGTGGTTGTAGATGCTAATTCTTACAACAAATATTAATAAAAAATCCTTATTAGAAATAAAAGTTACAAACCTGTGATATTATTACAATCCTTTCGCAAAAAATCTAATGAATGAGGGTGATCATGTTCAACAGATTGAGATACGTCAATAATATATGCTTCTCCTTCATGGTACCTAAAATTCAACAAAGTAATGAATCGTACAACAAACATAAAAATAGCATAGTTTAATACCTTAATTAAAAGACAACAAATATATTTTAAAAATTAAAAGTACATATATATTGATTTATTTATTTTAATGATATAAGTAAAAAGGAAGGTTGATATCTAGTATGATACAACTTTTAAAATATATAGAATCGTTTTGTCAATCACTAATTTCTATTTCTTTTTGTTACACTGAGAGGAAAAGTGAAGCTCCTTCCTAAATAGTAGGAAATGTTTAGAGGGACCACAGTTTACAGTTTTTGTTTCTTCTCTTATCTATGTAATACAGTATTTTTTTTTCTCTCTCTCTAAACCAGGACTTTTAATTTCAATCAGTTCAAAAAGAAAAAAACAATTGTTTGCCTGAATAACCAAAAGGTTTGAGAATGTTTGTTATTGTTTTTTTTTTGTTCAATGAAAAGTCCTTTTTGAATTTACAGAAGAAAAAAAAATCAATCAAAAAATCTTGTTTATTAGTCGGGGCAGACAGAGCTTTAATATGACTACAGATATAAATAGGCAGTTCTGGTTAAGCAAAACAGTAGCCATATATCTCACTTTGAACTAATAACTAGAGAATAAAAATAAATATTTTAACTTACAATAAATTGTACTCAGAAAGATCAGCATGAACAAGTTTACATTTATTATACATCACCCACATCATTCTGATACAATCTCTATAAAGTCGACAAGCTTTTGAAGAGTTCAAAACAGCATCCTGCAAAAATAGAGACAATAAAGTTGAGTACACAATAGACTCATTTAGACTTAGTAGAATTAAGAAATAGGTTCAGATAACTCACTTTGAGTTTAGGTGATGGCCAACCATTAGTCCCTAGAAAACTCATTACGAGAACATTAGATTTCAACAGAATAGGATCCGGTACTCGAAGCCCTGCTGATTTGAGTCTGATCAAATTTCTCATTTCTTTCTCTGCCCAAAGCAACACCATCTTTCGAGAATTGTGGCAAGAATGACGATGGCGAAATCTATAAAAAATAGAAATAAAACAACTATTACCCTTTCATAACCATTGACAATATATAAAAAAACATTGGACATTAATATCTAAATCTGACACGCTAATTTTAGAAACTACCAGTCTGATTTGAAATAAATTAATTCATATTACAATCCCTAAGATTCCATGATTTTATTTCTAAAAAAAAAAATAAAAACAGCTTCTCATTTGTTGACTGTAACCTCACTCGTTTTCCTCCACTTCAACTAGGGTTGCTTCATGTATGGAGGACTGTCTACAAAGCTGGAGATGAACTAAAATGAACCATTTTAACTGACAAAAAAATTCAAAAACTTAACCCTCCTTCAAAATTTAAGGTTTTATGTTTCAGGATGCAAAGAATTCGAATATCGAATAAAAATTTTTTTGTCCGTCCATCATTAGCACATTTTCTCTGAAACTACTGGACCAATTTTTTTATCGACATTACTATCGGTCTTTTCATTTCAAGACTATAGCACCTAAACCAATATACCAATTTCAATGAATCCTTTAATTGTGGCTTGATGTTACACGATTGAAATTAAATTTAATTAAAAAAATTTTGTCTTCCTGTATATTTCTTTATTTTTCACTTCTGCGCAACCAGTTTCGGTCTTTCAATGAAACTTGGTCTTCTTCTCGATGCTCTTTAAATTTATCAATATAACACTTCAACAAAAAGAAGCTATAACTAAAAAGTTACGAGAGATGGTAAAATTAGATTTCTAAATAACTCAAAAAATATAAACTTTCTTGTTGATACTATATGGTTACTTAAAAGTTTACAAAATATCCTAAAAAATCATCGTTAAAATCGGACAACTTGGAGGAAATATATGGTCTCTAGATATTTTTTATATATTCTACTGCAAAGGTTATATCCTTTGTTTTGATGGTTTTTGAAAGTGTTACTGAAGTAATGCTATTTTTTTTAATAACCCCAAACAATCTCTGGTCCGAACAGTTGAGCACTTTCCACAAGAAGTGCTGCGTGGTGCTATTGATGACTGGCCATGGAGATTCAATGCCTGTGTCAAGGCAAATGCGAGACATTTTGAGTAATTTATCTTTTGTTTTACTCTCCACTATAGATATACATTATATTTTCTAATAAGTTTTTGAAAAAATTAATTTTTCTGTTGAAATCTGAATATATTTCCTTGTAACAATATTTATGACAAAACTAGGTATATTAAAACATAAGAAAAGAACGTTTTTCCAATAGTTAATTGGATGTTTTTTGGGATTCAGTATTATGTATTATGTTTCAACCCAGTATTATGTTAAGCTTAAAGTGGCTCTCCCCACATTATGGGTAACAGTATGAACTTACGTTCTTCTCATATAGTCTAGTCAATGAATGCCCAAAAAAGCAGAAGGTAGTCAGCCGGCTAGTAAAGAGGATCAAGAGAAGAAAATGTGACTAACAAGTAGTGGGTACCAACAAAGTTAGAATAGAAGATTGTAGAAGTTGAAGACAACAATATAGAAGATTCACTGCAGAACAAAGTGAATTTCCATTGTTTGTCGGGGTCTACTCATGGCGCTTTCTAATTGTCACTATTTTTATGAAACGTCGGCAAAAATTAAAATTATTTATATATTTTAATTTTTTTTAATTATTTGACCGCACCCTCAACTAACTCCTTCTCATATTCCATTCTTTAATTCATTTAAATGATCCAAACATGGAGTATATATATATATATATATATATATATATATATATATATATATATACATATATATATATATATATAAAAAGGACAAAAAAAAGCTACTTCCTCAATATTATGAATTTTATTATTAATATATACCCTTGAAAAATTTTAAAGATTCAAACAAAAAATAAAATTCTACTAAAATATACTTGATGAAAACAATTATTACAACAATAGATTTAAAGTTTTTGAGTAATTCAAAACTGAAATGAAGAAAAAAATCTTTAAAGTAGAATTAATACTAAATGTTTAGACAGCTATATCTTTGCACCATGTAGTCCGATTTTTTAATTTTTTATATGGAATTTAGTAAGCTTTCAAATACTCATATGCATAATGGACCAAAAATTGTGTCCTTTCCGAGTTATTCCCCAATTATGACTCCATTTGTAACGTCTCGATTCGTTGAGATGGCACCATCATATGGTTTGAAACCTCCTAATTTTACATTCACTTTTATTTAAGTCCAGGTATAAAATTAGGAATCAAAATTATGATGCGCGCACTATACGTGATATTCCCTTTCTATTGATATCTCATTCGTCAAAATTCATCACTCCTGAGAGCCGGAAAAGGGATATATATTTGAGAAATAATATGTAAGATGTGGAGATGGGGATGTAATGTAGGGTTAGGGATTGCAATGTTCTGTTGACAGCATTCCCATAGAAACGCGGTTTGACTTTTTAATTAATTTTTCCTTCTGCTATCAGTATATGATTCATAACTCCTCAGTATTCTCTCCTAATTCAATATATCTATGATTGTTAGAAAGCTGAGTTATTATTCTTCAACACTATATCAATAACTTTTAGATTTTACACGTTTAAAAACAATAAATATTGAAAAACTCCTTGAAGGTTTTTGTTTTATATCTCTAGTTCTATTATATTTACAGGGGTCTGGTTTGTGTCATTTCATGTAACTTATGTAGTCCTACCTAAATGTAAATTTTCGTGAGGATACGTGCAGTCATTTTTATGTTACCCCACATTTTGTGATTTTCGAAAGAAGATCGAAGGGCTTGGTTTCGATTTGGTGAAAAAAAAAAAAAATTGTTTCTTATGTCTATGAAAATTCGTATTGAGGCTTTATAGAGGTGCGAAATACAAATCTCAACTCTATTTTTCCTTTAAAAAAATATTTGAACCCACTTTCCTCCTTTGGTCAGTACAAATTGTTTCAACGTCGTACTGATACTATAGCTATATGCCAAATGTATAGTTATTTTCAAATGAAATGGGCTATAATAGAACTTTCCTAATAAATATTAATCGAAAATAAGAAAAAATAAATAATAAAATTTTTTAAAAAATATTGGAAAAATTTCTAATTTATTTTGATTTTTTTTTTCCTTTTGTAGGCAATTTAGTAATCTTTTATATAATCATGGGTATAACCAAGGGAAAAGTGTGAAATTTTTTAGTTATTCGCAAATAAAGTTTGTTTTCTTTCATAACTTGATTGCCTTAATTTGGGAGTGATTGGACTATTTGGTCCGCCTAAAGCAGAAGGAAGCCTTCGAAATTGGTGGCTCAATCTTGAGATTTAGTGAAAAATTAACAATGATATGGCTTGCCGATCAAAAACACCATCGATAAATAATATAAACTCCTCCTCTCTCGATCATAGAGACCTCAATTCGACGAAATGAGATATTTATTCAATGACAGTACTACAATTAATGTAAGGTTGTGTGGATGCGAACCCTATGCCTTGTGTTATCTCGAAAATAGTACGTTTTTGTGCTGAAAAACGCAGGATCCGATAATTCCAGAGGAACTATCTGGGTCTTGCTGTAAGCATCAAAATCTTCAAGATCCAATTTGTTCCGTATCGATCTACAGACCTACCACCGTTCCAGTATTGAAGCCTAGCAGAATGTTTGTATCGACTTTATTTATTTTAGAAAAAAAAAAAAAAAAAAGTGAAGAATACGATTTGCTAACCCCCCGTGAAATTCTGAATCCAATGATACCCCATTCATGGTATTTGAGCATGAAATGAGCTTATATTTGGTACAAAACAGATTTCGAGCCTTATTGTAATAATATATGTGGGGATAGTTAATTGAAGTTTATGAAATTATCTAAAACTTTTATTCTGTAGGCTTTATCTGAATTCAAAAGAGTTTTTGAGCCACACGCTTGGAAAAATGTGACATTTTCAAAAAAAATAATTTTGCATCACATTTTTCATTTAACATTCCTTCATATTTTCTAAGATATTCATTTAAAAGAAGTTGTAGAGACTTAAATTTTTTATTGGAGTATATATACATATATAAATTAATCTCCAACCAGACTATAGTTACAACTATTTTAAAAATATTCGTAAAATGTTGTTTTTATATTCTTGACCCACAACTTTGTTCGCATGTCTAATAATAAGTATGGCCACCTTTTAAATCTAATTATTAAATAAAGTAGAAAAAATCATGTTAATTGAAAATTTTAATATTGTATTTTACAGATAATAAAAGTATCACGATAATTTTATTCTATTATAATATATTAAATACATACAATTATAAACCTCGTTTTAATCATTGTTTTCAATAACTTAATAATATTACATTTACAAATTTAGATGGATTAATGTTTTCATTCACTATGAACGTACGGATCTTGGCAAAGGTTGTTCGTCTATGGCATCTTCACCCTCAGTAGTGGTACATCCATCTAATTTTGTGAGTGTAATATTAGTAAGTTATTGAAATAAGTTAATTGACACACATTGAAATGTTAGTACCACTAAAAACTTTTAAAATGACTGTGTCCTGACTATTCATAACCTATGATATGTAGAACAGTCGACCAACTTCTTTCAGTGATTCATTATACAAAATTTCAATAAAGAACAAGAACTTACCTGAACTCGCCATTCACATATTTCTGTCTGTCTTTGAAAACACGAACAATAGTTTTATACACCTTTATTGCATAGTCCTTATCTATCTGATTAGTAGTGGCATGGTAAACATTTGCTTCTTTTCCAGTTGAAATGCATCCATTGACCTAAAGTAAGAGGTATCAAAATTAGTTCATTGTTAAGAGAACAAATGACAGAATCAATAATCCTCCTTGATAGTTAAAATTATTACAAATATGAGAACGAGATAGGAAATTAACATCTCTAAAGGTTGTTTATAAGTGTTGCTCCACTTTGATGGCTAGTCACAAGACTTCGTGATCACACTCTAAATGGAATTTTAAGAATGTTTGAGTAAGTCCGAAAGTAGATGAAATCTACTGATACTGGTGAGGAGAAGTAGTCCGGCAAGTGGATTTATCATAGTCTTTTTTGCCAACCTCTGACTGTTACCTTCAGACTGCCGCCGAGTACTTACGAGAGTGATAATGTCACGATCCATTTCCTGGGGCCGCCGAGAAATAAAAAGTAACAGACCCAGGTAAAAATCGAACCCACAAGATTCAGAACCGAGCACTGCATGGTCGGCCATCCCATCCTCTAGATGGGGAGGTAACTGAACCATCTTATAAGAGCAGCAACTCAACCGAAAAGGACACACCCATTCCATTTAAATGAGCGGAAGTCAAAAGCAGCAATTTAATTAGAGCTAATTAAGGTTTTAATTTTAACAAAAAAATACCCATTGGGAGTTTGCGAACATTGTAAATCGTAATATAAATAAAGAAAGGTCATACCCATTAACACATAAATTCTCAGAATTTCATTTATACTATGATCATGAGATTTTGTGAAGTAATATTGAAAAGAGTGATTCTTCTAAAGAGACTCATTTAACTTATACCCCACCCCTTCCAACCGCAATAATGTAATGACTTCATAATTTTGGAAAGAATTATTAGATTTTTTAAAATTTAATATGAAACTTAATATTACCACATTATAAGGTACCTGTTGCGAGTTTGATTAAGTGTTAAGTGAGTGGGAAATAACAATATTTTAGAATACCAATAAAAACCAATGTTTACCTCAGAAAAAGTTCCTCTGTCTAATAATTTAAACAATATCATTCGTGTACGAGGATCCATAACCTGTTCCACTGTAGCTCTGTCTTTTTTATCTTTTTCTTTGCACCTATAGATAACTGATTATTAGTAAGAAATAACAAAAATGTAAATAACATATAACAGAAGTAACTAAAAATGTTAAGTAAAACTTCATGAATGAACATATGTTTATTGACGTCAATAAAAAAAGACTTAAGGCTTTTCAGTTGAAACCTTTATACTTTCACTTACCTATAAATGTAATATATAAATAGGGTAAATATTGCAATCATGAAAATTTTTGAGTCTGTGTTCTCAACAGAAATACACGTTTTGAGGTACCCTTAGTCCAAATAACCAAGTCCCGAAAAATGGTCTGTGTGTCTGTGAACACTTTAGCTCAAAAACGAAAAGTCGTATGAAACTGATAGATCGTCTTTAAGATAGGTATATGCCTTAGGTGTCCTAGTTACTTTTTCCTTAAAATCGGCTAACCGGAAGTGCCACTTTATTTCACCGCTGAAACAGATTTTTACAATTTTTTCAAAACCGGCTCTAATGGTTTTGATTAAACTCGGTGTATCATTGTATAATTAAGCAGTCTTTAATATCATTTAGGTCTTATCCCTGTTGATGTCACTTCTGACAACTGATCCAGTAATACTTCACAAGTGATATGTCAGAATGACAGCTGGAACGAGATCACATATCGATGTGATCGATATGGGATCTCGTTATAATGTATATGTATATGTATATATGTTATGTATATGTATATATGTTATAATGTATATGGAATCCTGAATGTTGTATCAGCTGTTGTCTATACAACACCATCTTTCGAACTTAACTGTCTGTTTTTTCTTTTATGGAAAAGCTGTGTCTCCTAGGAACAGGTGTAGCATCAGAGCAGTATATGCTCGCCTAAATTGACTTTAAATAAATTAAAATGTTTACAGAAGCTCATTTAAAATTTCATAAGTTGAAAAATTTGTTTTCCCATTAAAACTATCGATTCTGATTATGTCTCAGGTATAAACTAAGTTTTGTAAATGATATGATCTGTAACAAGCAGATCTACAGTTGCATTATTAATAAAATAACCAATTAAAAATAATAGAAATAATGCTAGAAAATTATGGTTACCTGCCGGCTTCAAATTTTCGGTTGGTCTCCATTAAATAATTTGTTGCATGATTTGGTAAAGAAGGTCCCTCATACATCTCAAGATTGATTTTATCCGAATACTTCTTTAAGAGTTTATCTGATGGTTGAAAACTAGACACCTTTTTACTTGACTGCTGAGCATTCATGTTATTGCTAATTGTCCTAACCATTCCATTATACTTTCCATAGCCCTTACTCTCTAAATCAAATCACAGTAAAACATCAGAACAAAGTTAGTAAAACATCAAGTCAACAAAAGACCATAATTACAATACAGAAATATTACCTCCAATGTACATATCTTCATCAGAATAACAATCTTCTTCAATTTCTTCACTGCTTGAGTAAATAATCAGTTCCTTCACCTCATCTTCTAGACTGAACGTCACATGTTTCTTAATTTCTTTAGGACTAGACTTTCTATCCTCATTGACACTAAAAATAGGAGTAATTGGAAAACTTGTCTTCAAATAATAAAAACACTTATTAAAAAATTACTTACACATCATTTTCTGATTCAGCATCACTAAACTGCCCTTCCACAATTTCAAACATGGTCAAAGGTCAAATATATATACGTATTAAGACTAATATGCACGTGTGTCTATGAAGTCTATACCCACAATTTCAACTAACTTGACAGCTAGGATGGGAAGGTTATAACAACCATGTGCGCCAAGCATGGTCTTATTACTTAAATAAAGTAATTTATTTAAACATTCTAAATTTATAATTAGAATTTTGCAATGCATAAAAAAAATTGATTTTAAATTTATTATAACAATTTCAATTAATATTAAATATTGTAAACAAAAGTAATTTTATTTATGTTTGTCCCCCTCCCTTTCATATTAAAAAAAAACAAAATTCGTTTTGTAATATATACATAAGTTTGAACTTTAATCTTTGATATCGGTGTTTATATTATTAAATTTAATTACGATTTTTAATGCACTCATTTAACAGTTCACTTTGTTTCTATAAGTTATTTCATACTTCGTAACAAACAACTCATAAATATAATATTTGTGAAACTAAATACTTTCTTAAATTTAAGTCAGTGGTCAGTATCTATTCATAATAGAACAGTCACCATTATTATATTCATAACTATATTATTGAATAAAATAAAAATAAAACATTTGTTAGTAAAATATATGTATTTACAAGATTTGTTTCCATTATTAAATGTATTATTACTAAAAATTAAATAAAATAAATTTGTATACTTTTATGCATACTGTTTTCATGTTTTGTTGACTAGGATTTTTTTTAATTTTTGAAGTTCAATGTATACGCTAACTTCTACTATCTTTATAAAGAAGACTAAGACTAAGTGAAATTGAAGAATAAGATGAACATACAAAAGTGGGTACACCTAAATAATTAAGACTCATCCAATCAGATCAGTACACAGCTTAATTTGGCTAATCAGAAAAAATGTGTCTATTTTTAATTCACTCCAATCATGTAATAAATTAAATTTACAGTGATGGAATAAAGTATTTGCACATCATGCTTTTATGAATAAATGAGTTCAAGGAACCAAAAAACTTCGCTTTCCTCTGCAAAAATGAAAAGTACATTTGTTGAAAACTGAGAAAAACCTTTTGAAAAAAAATGACAACACTCCATAATAAAACAAAAAAATTAAAACAATAAAAGTGCTTGGAAAAAAGTATTTGCATGCTATTACTCACAAGCTCTGTTTACTTTGGCATTAATCCCTAATTTATCTCTAATCGTTTATTACCAGTATTCTCTAGTTTTTCAATCAGTTTCCTTTAGTCAATAGACAATTATCATGCCAAAGACAAGTGGACTGTGTGCCGCAACTCGCGAAAAAATTGTTTTACTGAGGAGTCAGCAATAACATATCGCCAAATTGCCGATTTCTTAGGGTTGAATTTTTCTACAGTGAGATACGTCATAAAAAGGTATGAAGAACGTGGTTCAACTGAAAACAGTAAGCGTAAAGGGCGTCCAAAAAAGTTAACTCCCAGGCTGAAGAGGAAAATCAGAAAAGAAGCTCTTAAAAATCCTCTAAGTAAAAGTTCTCAGGAGCTGGCTACCATGGTCCAATCAACGTCTGGAGTTCAGATTACTAGCAGAACAATTAGATATGCCCTGGAATCGGAAGGGCTCCATGGTAGAGTTCCAAGAAAGAAGCCATACATCAGTGAAACGAATCGCAAAAAGCGCCTGGCTTTTGCTAGGGAGTACGAACAGAAACCCTTAAGCTTTTGGGAAAATGTCATATTTTCTGACGAAAGCAAATTTAATTTGTTTGGTTCAGATGGTCGGAGAACGATATGGCGACATCGTAATGAAGCCCTAAAGAAGCAAAATGTTTTAACAACTGGTGTTATAGCATGGTGGAGGACATGTTATGGTTTGGGGGTGTGTTCCTACCATGGCGTGGGAAATCTTGTGAGCATCAGAGGCATTTTAAATGCGAAAGGCTATGTGAACATTTTGATACGTAATTTGCGTGTTGGTGCCGAAAAAATGGGAATCCAGGATCAGTACTATTTCCAGCAGGACAACGATCCAAAACATACTGCGAGGAGAACAAAGGAGTAGTTAATATTTAATGTTCCAAGACAGGTCCACACTCCTCCTCAGTCACCAGATATAAATATCATTGAAAATTTATGGCACACCCTTGACCAAAATGTAAGAAAACACCATACACTAGTGGACATCACCTTAAACAACTTCTTGTTCAAGAATGGGAACAAATAAATGTAGATTTAATTAATAACCTAGTGCATTCAATGGCCAGACGTCTATAAGCAATTATTGATGCAAATGGCCTATTTACAAAATATTAAAATTTAAAATAAACTTGTAAATTTGGAAGTGTGCAAATACTTTTTTCCAAGCACTTTTATTGTTTTAATTATTTTGTTTGATTATGAAGTGTTTTTATTTGTTTGTAAAAAGGTTTTTTCAGTTTTTAATAAATTTACTTTCCATTTTTGCAAAGGAAAGCGAAGTTTTTTGTTTCCTTGAACTACTTTGTTCATAAAAACGTGTTGTGCAAATACTTTTTTCCATCACTGTATATCGGGATCATCTAAAAAATTTAGTTCAGTTAGATATGATTTTAATAGGTGAGAAACGAGTAATTGTTACACATTTTAAATAATTTATCATCTAAACATTAAATCTTTATTTTATTTTCTCAACTTACCTCTTGCAATTATTATTTATCCTAAGATTTTTCAGAAAATTAAATGGTGATGAGTCAATTTTAATAAATATTCTAATAATTCCATGAAAAGTTGAGTGGTTCATGAAGATGAACAATATAGTTTGGAACATCGACCAATTATGTTGGAGAAATAAAGTAAGGGTTCAATTCTTTGACAATAAGTTATATAAAATTTATTATAATAAACATAATATAAAATAAACTTAAATTGTTAAAAATTAATAATATTTCAATTGTCCAATATTCATGAATTCGATTAAATCCAATTGAAAATTCAAGAGCTCTATAGACCTAATAAAGATGTAATACACATTGTTCAAAGTCCATTCTTAGCACAATTTGGTAATTATTAGTTTTGATTTATAATACATTTTCATAAGGCTGAAAATGCAACAGTCAAGAGCAACTTACTTCAGTAAAAATACAAAGCAAGGTATCAACATGGAATCCGACAGCTTGACACAACATTAGTCACTACGACAGATCATATTCCATATAAGAATATTCCACTTTTCTTTTAATTTTGTCATAATGAATATAACATAATACATTTAATAAACATCATGGAAAAATAGATATGAACTGCAAGAAGTTATATATGTATTTAAGATATAAAAAAATGTATAAGAAAAATTATTAAAAAAATAAAATTTTCATATATACCCATAGCTTATAAATTCAAGTAGTAGACTAATAAAAAAACAACTATGATTATATGTAATAATAAAACCACATATTTGATCACTATAGTATTACTTTACTTTTTTTTTTATTTTTTACTCCCTATTCAGCCCTTAGGCCATTATAAAGGGAAGAAACCTATTTTAATAATTAAAAATCATTATGTACTGAATTGCTAAACTCCAGAGTTTGACTAGTTAAATGGAATTGACAAGGACAATTCAGTCCATAATGATTTTAAATTATTAAAATAGGTTTCTTCCCTTGATAATGGCCTAAGGACTGAAAGATTTAATGTAAAAAACAAAATTAAAATAAAGTAGAACTCTAGTGATCAAATATGTGGTTTTATTATTACTATTAATATGAAGTCCTTACCTACAGATTTGAATACATATATTTAATATAATTATCTGGTTACAGTTAACTGATTTTTATTATTTACTATGCATCTGTACAGCAAGTAAAAATTTTTTTCTTAACAAAATAATAGTTTGGTTAATATGAAAAATAAAATCATCATAAATTCAGCTATCAAAAATGTTTATCATACATACTAATAATACATCGTATGTTCATTGAGTAGCAATGAAGAAAAGAAAACTAAGAACGAAAATTGAAAAAAGATACAGCAAAAATGATTTAAGCTAAGAAATTTGATATGTATTATTAATAGAAAAGAGAGAGAATTCTACAGACTCTAACACTTATAAAAATTGTTACAGAGAATGAAAGCAAGCAAGTATGACATTTCACTTACATAGCCATTTCTTCCTGCTCAGAATAAGCCATTTAACCAAATAAAATCCTTTACGATCCTGAGATTCTAAATCTATAGGTCACTAGTAGGGCTGTAGAGAAAAATTAAGGACACCTGGAATAATTTTTCCATTGTCAATTATTAAATTTATCTATAAAACACAACAGAAACCTTTTATAAAATATATAACAAAAATATTATGTAATGATATTACATAATTATTATATAACATTTGTAATGTTATTTATCGTTACTGTTAGTGCAAAAGGTTGTATATAACAATTTTACATGCTTATTCTGTTTGTGCTAAAGGTGACATTTTGTAGTCTGTAAATGCTATAAGTACTCTGCTAAATAGGAAAATAGCAGAGGGAAATAAAATATAAAAATATACTCATAAATCATAATTATTTAGATATATAAGTAGAATAAAATACAATGAACAGTTTAGATGCTTAAAAATTGATAATAATATTTCATTATTTGTTTTCTGAATTAAACTGAAGCTATAAACTAAGAATAAGGTTGTACCACAATTACTGACTATTATAATATAGTCAGTATAATAATATAAATAATATAATATTATTATTGTATAATAAAATGCAAGTACAATAAATTAATCACTACAAAACTTTAAAATAATACTTAAGCACAAACAGCTAATTATTTAAAAAATAATAAATTTTACATCCCACATCCTTATAGTCATATATAAAATTCTTTATTGTTTATTTTTTTAATTAATATTCTTAACAAGTTCTAATATTTTCCCTTTTATAAATTGTACAATGAATTAACACCATAATTAATTATTTTAAACTAGTTATTTTCTATTTTTTTCAAGTGTAGTTGGTGGCATTCTTAATCTTGTTAGCTCCATCTTGGCTTTTGTTCGGTTTATAGAGGATTTTCAGTTTATGTAAATTTAACTTAAAGATTTGTGTTCATGGACATTTGAAATCAATAACTAATATAAGAGAAATAGAAATAGAAATAGAAAAATCATCTTTATTCTGGGACTAGGTCCCTTTAGAATAACAGCACTGTTCATATATATCAACT